TCTGCATCTTTCAAGAAAACCATGATTTTTATGCAGGACAATGCTCCATCGCATGAATCAAAGTACTCCACTGCATGGCTAGCCAATAAAGGCCTTAGAGATGAAAGAATGATGACATGGCCCCCTTCCTCACCTGACCTAAACCCTATTGAGAACTTGTGGGCCCTTCTCAAATGGGAGATTTACAGTGAAGGAAGACAGTACACCTCTCTGAACAGTGTCTGGGAGGCTGTGGTTGCTGCAGCACGAAAAGTTGATTGTCAGCAGATCAAGAAACTGACAGACTCCATGAATGGAAGGCTTGTGGCTGTTATTGAAAAGAAGGGTGGCTATATTGGTCACTGATTTTCTTTTTTCTTTTTTTTTTTAAATGTCAGAAATGTTTATTTGTAAATTTTGAGTTGTTTGATTATTATTCTCACTTAAACAGATGAAAATAAACAAGTGATGTGGGAACATTTTTCGTTTTTCATTTAGTTGCATAATAATTCTGTACACTAATAGTTGCCCAATAATTGTGCACACACAGATTTTCTCCTTAGAAAGCCAAAACCTCAGTTTTACTTTGTGAAATAATCAGATTGAAGTTTATTAACATTTTGGATTGACTGAGGGCTCTGTAGTTGTTCAATCATAAAATTAATCATCAAAAATACAACTTGCCTAATAATTGTGCACACAGTGTAGATATAGAAGGTTTTCGTAGCCTATTTGTTACTCAATCTATCTACTGAGTAAAGAAGACTTGGCGACCAGGTCGCGCATGGTCGCCAAGTCGCGTCGCTGAGGTCGCGTCGCCGAGGTCGGCTCCCAAAGTTCAAATATTTGAACTTTGGGAGCGACTATCCGCGACTCCGAGCCGCGACAGCCAATCAGGGCTCTGTTGACGTCAGCAAACAAGCAAGGAGGAGGAGAAGAAGAATCACAATGGAGGAGCAGTTTATCACTGCCGTGAGTTATCACCCAGTCCTGTACGACGTGGGGTGCGCGTTTTACCGGGACCGCATGTCCAAGGAGGAGGCATGGGCGAAGGTGGCCCATGATTTCGGGCTTTCTGGTCGTTTGTTTATTTATTTCAGTGAGCAGACTATTTTCTGAAAACATAGCAAACTTCCCCTGCTTGCTAGGCTACATGTTTCAACGTGTGTGTGTGTGTGCCGCAAGCGCTGGAAGGGGCTGCGGGATATTTATATGAGGGAGAAAAGGAGGGAGAAGGAAGGTGGGAGAAGTGGGTCAGCCGCGACCAGCCGCGACCTGCGACCGCAGCTTTGGACCCGTTGTGAACACACCAGGGCACCACGCGACGCGACCTGGTCGCGTTTGGTCTGAACACCCCTTAACTGTTCATGAACTTGGAAGATCAATTGGTTCTCTACAGAGTCAAACACTAAAAAGAAATCTAAAAAGAGAAGAAAACCACCTTGTTCAATATGATTTCCATATTCAATAATGTCCATAACCAATCTTTGGTTGTTGTGAATTGATCTACCTTTTAAAAACCCAGATTGTGTTTCTGCTATAAGATTTGAGTTTCCTAGCTGAGGATGGGCGGTAAAGATGTAGGCAAGTAGTATAAAGTCAGAGTTTCTTAGAGTAATAGGTCTTCTATTGTCAATGAGCCTGGGATCTTTGCCAGGCTGAGGAATAATCAGCCCATGCTTCATTGTAGGTGGAAGTGTGCAGGTTTCAAATATTTCCTCAAAATTGATGTAACCGTTTCTAAATGTCTTCCCACAAATGCCCATAGAAATCTCCTGTGAGGCCATCTGAACCAGGTGCCTTGTTTAGACAGAGGTAGACTGTTGCCTATTTGAGCTCAAGTATCAGCGCGGACGCCATCTTGGATGGGTCCCCCATGCACCTCCGGTGTAGTGGTGTGTCGGTCTTGAACGAACGGATCAAAAGAACTAGTTCTTTTTGTTGAATGAAATGAACTAGTTCTCCCCCCCTAAATGACCCATTCAGTCCGTTCAGTTCTTTTGATTGGCTGAAGAGGGACTATCTCCGTGCTTGCCTGTCTTATCCTATCGTTGCGCCTCGTTCTGTGTGTGGGTGGGGCTTAGAGAAGCAGCAGCAGTACTACTGAGCTGACTGAAAGACCGGGATGACCGAGTTGACTGAAAGAACGGGTTAAATGAACGAAAGACCGAGTTGAACGAAAGACCGAGTTGAACGAAAGACCCAGATGGATGAACGAGTTGACTGAAAGACAGAGTGAACGAAAGATCCAGACGATGAACGAGTTGACTGAAAGACCGCGTGAACGAAAGACCCAGACGGATGAACGAGTTGACTGAAAGACCGAGTGAAAGAAAGATCCAGACCGATGAACGAGTTGACTGAAAGACCGAGTTGACTGGCCGCCGCACGAGCCGACAGCCGAGCCCGAGCGAGCGGGACAGTCACACACACACAAAGGCACACAGCTGCTGCTGCAGCCAGAGGCAGAGAGACAACTATTGATACGCATTTGCACTGTCTGTTGACATTTTGTGCTTTTTATTATTGTTTTGAATGCACCTCAAAATAATAAAAACCAGTAAAAACCTTATATATTTTTTTACTCCTACTATAATTTTATATTATAAGGAGTGCAGCGCGATCGCAGCGTTGGACCGGGGGTGGGAAGTGGGGAGTGCAGCGGTCACAGCGTCGGACCGCGGGGGGGTCGTAACGTCGGACCGGGGAGCTGAGACGCTCGCAACGTCAGATCCGGAGGGGTGTAATGCTTCAGATTTCAAGATCACATGTTGTTGCGCTGTTGAGTCTGAAGTGCAGTCAGACGCTGAACGAACGTGAACAACATGAACGAGCGGACTGACTAATGACCGATTGACCGAAATGAACGAAATGAATGAAATGAACGGGTCTTTTTACTGAACGACCGGTTCACTGAAATGAACGGTTTTGCCCACCACTACTCCGGTGCATTTAGAAAGGTAGGAATGCCCAACCATATCAATCATAACTCTCGGAATTTCCGCCCGAGATGAGATGTGGCTACGATATAGAACGCTGTCACACATTAAAAATAACTAAAATTATTTTTCAATCTTACTTGTGAAATGTAATCCTACTTGATTTGGTTTCACTATTGCGTCATTTTTTCAACTGTAGAGTGCACAAATACGTGCTTGTTCTCCACTGATGGCTCTTGTGCGAGCATAGAGTGAGGAGACCCATCCAATATGGTGGCGATGCTGGCTTACTCTGCACTCAGCACGTAATGAGGCATCTACGTATACATATAGCACAGTAGTGTAATGGTTAGCACTGTTGCCTCACAGCAAGAAGGTCCTGGGTTCAAATCCGGGTCAGGGTGTCTCTGTGTGGAGTTTGCATGTTCTCCCTTGCTGCGTCCGAATTGCCAAGTAGTAGTCGAAGTAGTATGTAACATGTCCGAATTGGCCACTGGCACGAGTAGCATGCTACTTCAGATACTAGACACGCCCACATTGTAGGATGGTCGCGGTGCATCCTACGGGCATGCTACTGACCCAAAATGCACCGTGGGCTTCTTCTTCGTCCTCTTAAAAGTTGTAGAAGCGCATGTGATGCTAGCGCCACCAGCTGCTGCCTATTTAGATGCGTCGCGAATGCCGGCCGCCCACAGCAGCGCGCTCCATGGCGGAGCCGCAGCAGCAGCAGGCAGGACCGCAGCAGTACAGATGTAGGTTTCATGTAACTTCACCACGTGAGTGAATGAAGGCCAAAAGTAATGTAAAAGCTACTTTGTGAATTTCTAAAGCAGTGCAGGAATATAGTTCAGCAGCATCCATCACTTGCACGATTACCATTCAAAGTCTAAATCGGGCGCAGTATCTACTCTCTGCCTGCGGGGGTCGTCTTTCCCCACCGCTCGTCTAGTGTGTCCGAATTGGGCCAACGTGTTTAGTATGTAGGAGTAGGATCTAGCAGTAGTATGTAGCAGTAGTATGTAGTATTGAGCGGGCAATTCGGACACAGCAAAACCACAATAAATATAAAACATTTTGGAGACATGCAGCGCTCGAGAGCCCTAAATATTTTACCGGTAAAGCAATAAAAGTGGTAACATGTAAAGAGGGTAATTTGTCGACCATTTTATTTTGTGTTGGCAATATTTGGCCAAAATGTTAATAAAATTGATGACTTATTTGCTAGTGTACGACGGAGTATTAGGGCCCCATTAGGGAAAAAAATTAAGACTTCGAGATTAAAGTCATAAATTTACGAGAATAGAGTCATTACTAACGAGAATAAAGTCGTGATAAAGTAATTACTTACGAGAATAAAGTCGTAGTAAAATATTCACTTACGAGAGTAAAGTCAGAATAAAGTCCTAATATTCCAATCTGTTGTTTAAGATAACAGTTGTTGAAATGAGAGCCATGGAGCATTTCGTGTAAATGTAATACATGTTTCTCAAAAAAGGAGATACTTAATCTCTTGGCACATCAGCGCCACATTATCATAAGCAGAGTAGTAGTAGTTGATTACGACTTTATTCTCGTAAGGGATGATTTTACTACGACTTTATTCTCGTAAGGGATGATTTTATTACGACTTTATCCTTGTAAGTAAGGATTTTGGTACGACTTCATTCTCGTTAGTGATGACTTATTCTCGTAAATTAACGACCTAAATCTCGATGTCTTAATTTTCTAGAAGTACTTTTATTCTTTAACGTGGCCCTAATACTCCGTCGTACTTCTAGACATCTTCAAAAGATTTTTCTTTAAATCAAGATACAGGGATTATATCTGTGTAAAATTCCATAGTTTTATTTGTTTTGTTTATGTTAAACTATATTATTATTTTTATTATTGCGTTTTTTTGAATATGTAATTTTATACAACCCCCCCCCCGCCCCCCCTCACTTTCTGAGTTGTTGGTAAGTAATCATCTGTTGTCCGACCGGTCCCCTTCCCTCTTAGCGCCGCTCTGCGCATGCTCTTCTCTTAAATTTAGGGTGGGTGAGTTAGCCGTTAGCATTGAGGGCTAACCAGCCGAAGAGTATAATGGCGGCCTCGGTGTTGCTGGGGTCTGCGGACAACAACGGACTCAATTTCACAATTGGAGGTGGCGGTGGCACCGGGAATGTCTCAGTGGGGAATAATAACGGACTAGGGCCGGCAGGTCTGGCACCCTGGAACCGGTCTCTTGACCGGGCGTTGGACGAAGCCTCGGCCACCGGGTTCCTGAACCTCAGCGGCAGGAAGCTGAAGGAGTTTCCCCGGAGCGCTGCCAACCACGACCTGACGGACACCACCAGGGCCGGTAAGTGAGCAGACGGTCCAGGGGACTGGCCAGGCTCCCGTCGAGCTGGTTATAGTAACTTTGAGTGCGTTTTGTTGACTTCAGGGGCGTGGAGAGGGTATATCCAACTTCAACGGCTCTGCAGAACAAAACAGTCAGGGCCGGTGTTGTGACAATTTTTGCCCCCCTCCCCTCCCCTCAAAAAAAAAAAAAAAAGTCTCCTGTCCTGATTCCCATGTAAGAAGATCATTGTCATCGTTCACCATCGTAATTGGCAGGGCATTTTTCAGAGCATTTTTTTATTAAGTCTGGGGGTCCTGGTGAACTAACTTTTTTTTTTATTTTAATCAAAATAGTTGTAAATGCGACATAATGATACAGTGTCCGCACATTAGAAGGAACCCTAAACAACGTCAGTTAACTTGTAGACTTATGGAAGTTGAATAGTTTTGGAAACTGTTTTCGTTAGTACACCCGGGCTGAAGCGGTTGCTGGTTTAGCAAACTAGGACGCTAATGTGCCAAAGTAGTGTTTGCAGTCTGCGGTGAGTAAACAGGACAGTGGCCCTGATGTTGTTAGCACGCTGCTAGCTGCTGGGGTTGAAGAAAGCTGGCGGTTTACAGTTCGGACCGGCAGGAAGAACGGCAGTTTGACCGTCCGGTTTCGGGGCCACCGAGCTGTCAGAGCCTCACCCAGAGTTCCTGACGTCACTGGGTTCGAATAGGTGAACGCACAACTGGTCATGTTTAGTTTGATACCTGAGGTGCCTGATGAGATAATGAGGCAGGGCTGAATGAAGCTACTCCGCCCACCCGAGGGTGACGGGCCGGCGTGGAGAGGCAAAACATACAGAGCAAGGGAGGTGAGGAGGCTTGAGAGTGACAGCAGAGCAGGAGGAGACAACACAGAGACTGACAGACAGACCCAGAGAGAGCGACAGAGACATACAAACATATATATATATATATATATGTCTGTATGTCTCTCTCTCTCTCTCTCTCTCTCTCTCTATATATATATATATATATATATATGTCTGTATGTATATACATAGAGAGAGAGAGAGAGCGGGGCTGACAGACAAAAAGACGAACATAGACTAACATAAAGAGAGAGGAAGGCCGACAGACAGAAAGACTGACACAGAGACAGATAAACAGAGTGAGAGAGAGGGACTGACAGAGAGACAGAGAGAGCGACACTGTCAAACACAGAGAAAAACAGACTGTTTGATTTTTACAATTTTACATCCCTTGCTCTCATATTCTGGGATGCTATTGTCTCCTTTCGAGTCAGTGTGAGCAGTAACAGAATTAAAGACGATAGGATGATGAGAGGGTGGGCAAGGAGACGAGAGTGGTGTACTGTGTTTTTTAGAGCTCTTCGTAGCATGCCTTATCTTCCTATTGAAAACCACTTTCTTGAACACCTGTTGTCCTTTATTTCGTCATTATACCACTGTTAAGTGGAACGCAAAAATATCTGCTGAAAATGCACAAGGTGGAAAAGGAGTTGGACGCCCACTTGCCAACACCGCAGCTAATGCTAGCCGCAATCAAGCTAGCAAGAAGTCACAGGAGAAGTCACAGGCTGAAAGCGATGACGAGCTTTCACCCGCTTGTCAAACAAAATTGTCAAATTGTCAAACATGCTTTTGCAGTCTTTTAACGAGTGGTTTTATAAGTTTGAGCAGAATTTTCAGAACAATATGTCCGCCCAGCGGGTGCTAACTAAGCGACTGACTACCACCCAGAGCTAAGGCTGCACGATTTTGGTCATATCCCGATATAGCTCATTTTATATCCCAATACGATATACATCACGATATAGTACATTTTTTGTGAATTCAATTGATGTATAGTTTATATAAAATATAATATTCGTATGTAGGCTTAAAGTAAATAACTCATCTGATCATTAAAATAAATCATCTGATCAGCCGTGCCACCGCATCAGCAGCAGGATGGAAACAGGACACGGAGACACGTCAGGTGTTGTGCCATAGAATGTACCCCTTCCGTAGAATGCCCCCCTGACGAGAGCGCGGTTGAAGATACATAACAAGGCGGAATAATCCAAGTTTTCCTTACCGTTGGACTGATTCTAAAGCGTGTGCCTTTAATGATTTAATACAGGCTTTTCAGATATGCCGAAAACAACGGCCCTCTGATTCGGAATATTTGCTGCCCCGAAAATATAATGTTCTCTACCATGACAGCTAACTGTACAGTTTAAATACGCAAATACACCTCTCTATGTGCTTTTTTTAAAAACCTAAAAACAGAACGAAAGTTTGCTGCTCCATTTGACATGTTGTCATGATCCAATACTCGTGTTTTTTTAAATATGAGATTTATGAATTTTTTTTCCACTTTAAGAAGCTAATGAGTGGATGGGATGCAGGGGATGCATTCTACGGCATAACACCTATCAAGCTGCGCGAGGAAGAAGGAGGATAAGCGGGGAGACGAATTAAATATCTTGTTAACTTCATCATGGGTGACTGTTTACTGGATATTTAATTTAATGCGGTTTCAGCTGTGTTAATTCGGTCAGGTGGGGTGTCCAAACGCGCTCATCAGATCAGATATAGATCAGAGTATATCGATATAGATCTACATGTATGTGCTGACTCAGAATAAAACTACAGCGGTCTGCTCCGTGTCGCTCCTTTTAAAACCAAACCACGACCACACAACTGACGTTGTCCCCCGTTTCGGCAGCAACTCCTCCGTCTGCGTTTGATGCACGAGAATTGTCATCTCTTTCGCCACAATAACCCGGCTCCTCCATGCTTGTTTGTGTTTTTCACAGTGGCAGTAGCGCGTGCGGGCATGCAGTATATGGAGCGTCACGACGTAAAACACTGCCGTAAAGCGTGTTTTTGCGACACCGCGATAGAAACGATAGAGCTCATGTATCCCGATAGAAATTTTCTATCGTTTAGACGAAACATATCGTTATATCGTGCAGCCTTACCCAGAGCCAGGCTGCAGACCATGAGCAACGTATCCACACGGTGGAAACTTCAGTAGCTGAACTGCGACAAGAGAATAAAAAGTTGCGGGCTAGGCTGTCGGATCTTGAAGGGAGATCCAGGCACAACAATATAAGAATTGTTGGTGTCCTGGAGGGTGAGGAGAAGGGGAGGCCGACTGAGTTTGTGTCTAACCTGATCCCTAACACAGGTACTCGTAGGCACGCACAGGCACACAGACACAGACTTTTGGATACAGTGCTGCAAGTGAGCATCGTGAGAGAAAAGCAAGCAAACTGAATGAACACGGCAGCTTTGGTGTCTAAACCGAACGCAACAGCCCAAGTGTGGGAATATTTTGGCTTTAAACCAAATGAAAGAGGTGAGCCCACAAATACAGATGAGCCGATATGTCGTATTTGTTCCAAAGTTGTGGTGACAAAGAAGGGGAATACGACGAACATGCATGAGCACCTGAAGCACAATCATCCCCTCCATTTTTCCCAACTGAGCAAAAAAAGTACCGCCGGAGGTGCTGCGGAGCCATCGTCCCGACAAGTACCGCTTACTGAAGCGTTTGGTAAGCAAAGCAAATATAAACAAAACACCGCAAAATGGTGCACGCTGACAGACAGCGGAAATTAAAGTTTATTAATTTTGACATGGTGTACTCGCATTATTATGCCATATATTATCATTTTCTATAATTTAAAAAACGGCGTCAATAATATCGTTTATCGGCAATAATTTGTAGCACAATTATCGTCCAGCAAAATTAGTTATCGTGACAGGCCTAACCAAGGACAAGTAAAATCATTTAACAATCTGGATGAGGCTAAAGCTTTTGTAAACCAAAAGTCTGAGCCTCATTGTGAAAGCCCACTTTTCTAAAAATAGAGGAAAATAGTCTATGTGTTCTAAGCAAACGTTTACCTCTGCGTTTTTGTTTTCAATGCTAAATTCACTTTGTTTTACTCTGTGTGCTAATGTGGGGTGGTTAGGTAGAGGTACACCACAGGCCAAAAGTTTGGAAGCAAGGCCATTACAGGCCGAACAGTTGGGAGTAACTTCAAGTTTTTGTTCACAATGCTTTTTATTAAAACCCAGCATGAGTTTTATGTATTTTGGGATGTATTTACTCCATGATCAGATGTTGCTTTCATGGAAATGCCCCATTTTACTCCATTTATACATTGATGTTAACAGATCATTGCTAAATGTCAGCAAAAGATAATAAGGGCTAAGTTTTAGGGTTGAAAACATTTGCAAGAGTCACAACTTCAATGCAAAAGCAAAAAAAACCAAAAACAAATCACAGTTGGATTATTCACTTAAACTTTTTGGCTTTTGAGAGTCTGCATACAAAAATCCTAATAAATCTCAACTGTGTTCAAACTACCGCAAAATGGCTAGAAAGAAGCCACTGAGTAAAGAAACAAAAGTACAGATTTGTACATTGAGGAAAGAAGGATACACAGAAAGAGAAATTGCAAAACGCCTAAAGGTGTTTAACAAAGGAGTCCACTACACTCTGAAGAGACTAGAGGAACCTTGAAGTTATGATGATAGAAAAAGACCTGGACGAAAGAGAGTTACTACAAAAGCAAAGGATAAACATGGTATTGTCACCAGTAAGAGAGCTCGGCAAAAGACAGCACAACAGCAAGACAGAGGAAATCAACAGGACAAGGTCCAAACCCATATCTCTGACATCCGTGAAATGATGTTTGAGAAAGGCTGGTCTGAAGGGTTGTATATCTGCAAAAAACACTACTTTGTCCACTAAACAAGAAAAAGAGATATGAGTGGGCAAAAACTCACAAAAATTGGACTTATGATGACTAGAAACAAGTTTGAACTGTTTGATTCAAAATGCAGAGTCTATGTCCGCAGACAAACTGGTGAATGTCTGAAAGCACCATATGTTACACCCACAATTCAGCATGGAGGTGGTAGTTCCATGGTATGGGGATGTTTTGCAGGTGATGGAGTAGGAGATTTGTTTGAAGTAAAGGGTATCATGAAGAAGGAACAGAACCACTCCATCCTCCAGCATCATGCTGTTCCATCTGGACTCAGACTTGTGGCTCATAAGTTTGTTTTGCAGCAAGACAATGACCCTAAGCACTCTGCCAAGCTCTGTCAGGGTTACCAAGACAAATAAGAAGAGGAAGGTGTTCTTTAAAACATGGTTTGGCCCCCTCAGTCTCCAGACCTTTCTCCAATTGAGCTTGTGCAGGATGAATTGGATCGATCGGTCAGAAAAACGCGTCCCACAAATCAGCAGTCTCTTTTTAATGAACTTAAGAAAGCTTGGAATGCAGTCCCTGGAACATACCATAGAAAACTTGTGGAACGAATGCCTGGTATATGCCAAGCTGTTGTTAAAGCCAGAGGAGGTTACTTTAAAGAAAGCGAAGTCTAAGCAACAATAACTCAAATTAGTGCTGGGTGATGTGGAAATTTTATATCACGATAACGATATACCATGATATAGCTATGGTATGCTTTCAGTTCTATGAAAAATTAAAGTGTATACAGCTGCCCTAGTACAGTGCCAGTACAAGACCAGCACTTAAAACTAGAAAAATGAATAAATAATTTGGCTGAAGTGCGTTCATGTCTGTGCTCACCCAAAGTTATTCAACACTCACAGAAAAAGCCGATAGTGTGAGCCAAAGCACTCCATAATAATAATAATAATAATAATAATGAATTTAATTTGTAATGCACTTTACATTTACAAAAAATCTCAAAGTGCTACAGTGCACAGTAAAAAAAGAGCAGCAACAATAAAAAAAACAATAGAATGACAGTCACCAGGGTTTTTCCTGGCTCAAATTGAGGCAGAGGTGGCACCATCCTGACCATGCGCCATGACGTGCATGTATTTGTAAATTCAACTGACTCACTTTCTTTTACAGGCAACATACTTTAAGTTAAGAGTTCAAAAAAGAGTGTGACCATTATCATGTTAAAGCATTCATTTATTAAAACTATATACATACACAAATCAGCTGGCAACTTTAAATTGAAAGTACACTTCATCCACACATCTCACAACCAGACAGAACATTTCAGCCTCCTCTTTTTCATTCTGTAGAACCTCCTCATGCACTCCTTGTAGTCCAAGGCCTCCTGGTCTGGTCCATCAACGGCCACCTTACAACAGACATCCAAGTGCCTCTCCTTCAGTCTGTTCCACAGAGGTGTCTTCACCTTAAACAAAACAATTCATCATGCATTAAGTATTTTTTGTTTTTATTCTGATACAGACATGAAGAGTGATAGTGTTTTCAATCATATATTATATATATGTATACGTTGCAGTGTCCTCCCTAAAAAAACGACAACCAATTATTTCTTAAACTATCTAAACTATGTTATTTTAGTTTTTGTAACTTTATTAGTTGAGTGTTTTTAGGTACTACCATCTTTAATATACTTCTCCTTCTCTTCTGCTGCTTTGTGAATGGCTGTCACCTCATGTCTTTTTAATGTGTCCAGCCTGTAGTTGGTTGATGGCTGTCTCACTAAGGAGGCAGCAATTGCCTGCTGTGTTGGGGCACAGTGCTTTTGGCATAAATAGCAGTGCATGCCTTCCTCAGTATGCCTGAGCCAGGTAAATTGATTGAGCCATTGCTTGTCAAAGCCACTGGCTCTGTGTTTTTGAGAAGATCTGGAAAGAGGAATAAAAACCACGTACACGTTGGTTTTGCGTTGTTATGCTCCTAATTGGAAACTAATTAATTAATTACCCTCGCCTCGCCAACTCGTCCTGTCCTGCATTCTGACCCTCGCGATCACCAGTCCCTTGTGAAGTACTTTCAGACCTGACACAAATTTCCACATGGTCACCACCATGAATTATAGCATTTTAACTGCCTGTTCCTTTTTTTTCTCTGCTGTGTTTCACCTGGACTCTTGACTTTCCTCCTCGCGAGGTCGCTTTTTAAAGTACTGGCTGATTTTGCCTGTCATAACTGCAACGCTAAAAATGGAGAAAACTTTTTTTTAAATAAACATGTCATGCTTGGATGCAAAAAAGACAAGCAGTATTTACCTGTTCGGTCCAGCCGCCAGGGAAAATCAGGACGCCGATAGCACCAACTAGCGGGAAAAAAAACATGATTCGATCCGTTTCTTCTTCGGTAGATGCTTCAGGTCTTTCAGGTGCACTGCTGTTGATATAGCGCCTCTATAGTGGCGCAACGCTGCAACTGCAGTTAAAATACGTTGCTGCTGCAGAGGGACATCATACGCTCAATCAACACAGCTGGAGCTTTAAGCTGTGATGAGCGAAATCAATCGCTCTGGCTGGGGGCGGCACAAAATTAGGTGGAGGCGGCCGCCACGCAATTTTGAACGCAGGAAAAACCCTGGTCACAGATTGGCATAAAAAAAGCATAAAAGAATAAAAAAAATAAAGAATATAGAGTTGCAATGTAAGAAGCAAGGTAGTAAAAGCATAGAGGAAAGCTAACCAAAGGCTTTATTAAAAAGTTGGTCTTTAGGGCTCTTTTGAAGAGGTTGTTCACACTGCTGAATGTTTCTCCTCCAAAGCTGCTCTCTGCCTCTCTGTTTACTTTACTCTTGAAGCATGTAGCAAGACCCGAGCATGAATCCGAGCGCTTTATTCACCTATCAGGGGCAGACAGGTAAGGTGATTTGATTCGCCACGACTCCAGAAATGATTGAAAAACTACAGAATGTCACAAAATTACGTTTCCTCGCTCCTGGCTTGAAGGGTAGAAATGCGCAGCTGCGCTCCCAGTTGACAGGAAGTCAAACCACTGTTGTGTTCTTTTGTGTTGCTAGCGCGGTCAAGAGTGTTGGCTCTCACTGAGAGATGACTACAAAAATGGACGCACCTGTTCATCTGGTTGTTTAACACGGCTGAAAATGATCATCTTTTAATGTTGTTCCCGCTCCTGCCCACTCCCGTTGCCTTTTTTCCCGTCCCGTCCCGATCAAGGGATTAATTAAAAAATGACTCCCATCCCATGGGATTCCCGCGGGAATCACGTGACCCACGGGAATTCCTGAAAAATGTCATCCTCTACAGGGAAGGTCCTGGAGCAGATGAAACAGGTGCCGGAGCGGCTGAAATAGGTCCCGGATCCGATCAAAAGAGGTCCCGGAGCGCGCTCCGGCTTGCTCCGGCACAAATTAAGCACTGCTTACAATGATCCCCTCACGTGTGTTACCCAGGTAACCCGCAACCGTGGGAGACGCTGGACACGAAGAGGGAACGTAAAGCGGCGTCATGTCGCAAAATCGAAAGAGAAATGCGAGCCTACATGTCAACGCATCCTTTTCTTTGTAAGAAAATATTTTCTTTCCCGTTTGGCACCAAATACACTTACTGAATGTGCAATTATTGTTGTTGTTACTATGAATCATCTGATGGCACAAGCCCTATGGATAAAATACAGCCTATCGCTCAAAACGATAAAAATAGAAATGGCACGATAGACATTTTCTATCGTGCCCACGATATCTATCGTCCTGTCGCCCAGCACTAACTCAAATACCTAATAATTATGGTCAAAATGTATTCTGATAAGTTACTCTTTACACAATAGTCATGTTTATTGTGTTGCAAATTATATATATGAAACTATAATCTTTTTTTATACAAATCTGATCTTGCTTCCAAACTTTTGGCCTGTAGTGTATTTTCTTGACCGGTGGTCCTGGATGTGGATGAGCATTGCTATGCTTCGTTTGGGGAAGCTTTGGGTGGGGGGTTTGCTGGGGTATCTGTTAACTGTTCATGTTATTGTTTTTTGTTTAAGACTGGCTGCCAGACTGAATGTTAAGTTTGTTTCTCACTGTAATGAAAAAGGTACCATATGTGAATAATGCTCTGGATTTCATGTCCTTGGTCTCTTGGAATGTACGTGGTTTAGGTCATCCAGTTTAATGCGGCAAAGTTTTTCATTCTTGAAATCAATGAAATCTGACATTATATTTTTATAAGAAGCCCCAGTCAAAGCTATCCAGCGTAGGAAACTTAGGGCTAATTGGATCTCATAGGTCTATCAGTCACCTTTTGCATCAAAAGCCTGAGGTTTTGCCATTCTCTTCCGCAAGACTTTGCCTTTTTGATTTCAATCATCAACAACTGACTCGAATGGTAGGTTTATAACTGTAACTGAGCAAATCTGTTCATTTCCTGTTAAACTAGTCAATATATATGGACCGAACATGGATGATCCGATTTTTTATTTTATTTTTGAAAAGTGTTTGATCTTATTTTTTGATCTGATTTTGATTTTAATTGGACCCATGTTAAGATAGGCTTTCCTCTGCCCCTCTGAACTTGAAAATGTCATGTGGTGCGACCACTGCAGATTGTTTTCCATCATAGATATATGCCCTTGATTGGCAGTATTTACGCTTTTTATATTCAATTGATGATTGATAAACACTAAGTACTTGATTTTTAGTATTATTTTGAATATTTTTTTATTTGATGAGTCATTTTGCTAGTATTTCAGAAATAATGGTTGGTTCATCTGTACAAAATAAAAAAATAAAAAATCAAAAGCATGCATTCACTTAGGTATCTATGCCGTTGTTAGCAATCTATTAATTTTCATGTATCTATTTAAGTCATTTTAATTTATTTTACCAGATGCCACTGCCAAGCAAAGTTAAAAGCACTCGCCATAGGCAGCGTGTCAACTCTGACCCCGCAGCATGTTGTTCATGCGAAGACTGGTCAAATATTGGGCCAAGATTGGGCAAAGTTTAAAAAGGCCTGAGGCCTGTACTAAGAAGCTGGATTTGATCTTAGCGAGATAATTTCTGGAATAACTCTTGGGTTTACCGCACGATGAGGGTGGATTTCTTTCTATCCAGGTCCGTGGCCCCGGTAAGTTACGCGGAACACCAGACCTGCTCTGGAGCAGGTTATGTTTCAGGATAAGATCTCAGCAGGTATAAAAGACTGCCCACTGACCAATCAGATCTCTTGGAAAATGGCTTGCCCACTTTTGCTGGATCCCAGGGACATCATTGCACAGATAGTGAGAGGAGCGCTTCGCCAAGAGCGTTATATTCATGATCGCTCAAATCTGTTTGATTTACCTGAGTGGATGACATTCTCTATGAATGTAACAGGTTTTCCTTGGACGGCCTCAATATTCAGGTAGCATGAAGTCTCAGCAATGCACTAATATTTGCCAAGGTCCAAGTTCCAGTTTCATACGGCATATTAGTCATCATTCAGAATTTATTGAAGCAGATTAGAAAACTCCTCTTTACCCCAAATGTGTCTGCAGATGATATGTGACCATCAGATGATGGAGAAAAAAGAAAAAAAGGCAATGTGAGGAAATCACTGTTAACGCGTTGAAATATGTACGAATAAAATCTTCCAATAAACGTACAAACTACTTTAAAAGAATGTTTTTAGATTTATTTTTATTTGCTCCCACGTACTCTTTTCCCCACTGCTGTTGTATCTGAAATAATGAGGTCAATGATGGAGGTAATCACACACGCTGCATGACAACATATTAGGGGGCCATAAATTTATGAACGCACAAATGTAATTTACACAATCGATAATTTTTTTGCCAGCAGTCCCTCCGGCTTTTAGCAGCTGTGGCTGTCCTGCTCCTCACTGTTATAATGTTGCAGTACTACTCACAGGTCTAGACTGACCACAACTGAATTTAGTTAGTGAGTTGATATCCTGCCTTGTAGTACAGCTGATCAGGATTACGGAGATCCGGTGAAGTTGAGCAAGTTGCGGCAGAGTTATTCTGGGTGTGTTAATCCAGCTACATAGTACAGGCCTCTGGGCCACACACACACAGAGTTAAATTTTTGTCAAAAAAATGAAATGAAATGTTTGTTTTCATGTTTGAAATGTTAATAAAAATTGGTTTGAATATAAAATTTGCATGAAATTAATTGTTCATAGGTCTCTTTAAATAGATTTTTAATGATACAAGGTCTTTCGGTCATTTGGCGCGACCACCAATCATGTGGTGCGACCAATAATAACATTAATTGTATCAAATACAAACTAAAATATCTAATTTCTGTAACTGAGACATTAATACCTGAAACAATATGCTCACATGAAAGGTAGTTTCAAAACATTTTTATCAGTATTATGCAATTTAAAGAAAAATGTAGTCAGTTAACTACATTTAATATAGCAACTGTGACATAATAGAGCTAATATATGAGATCATTATTAACAAAAACTCAAATAAGATGCAAACGCTTTGTTCCTATGTACTTGATATTACTGACAATCTGTAAAAAACTATGCAGTATGTTGATAAAATGTAATAATTTTGAGATAAATGATGGTCGCACCAAATGATATTTTTTAAGGCCACAGGCAATTCATCTATATGAAAAAACACTTAAATAGCCTGATTTAAAATTTTTACATTATTTTTTGTATACATAACATCCTTAGTGTTTGAACTGTTGCAAAAGATATTCTTATTTTTGGTATTTTAAAATTGGCATGTTGAAAAAAACCTTATACGTCATTGACCCAATAATATCTGATCACAGTCCAGTTGCTATTAATCTTAAATTGAGCTCGCCTAGACAAGCCTATAGTTGGCATTTTAATCCCTATCTTCTTGAAGATAAGGCTTTTAGAACACACATCACTACCCACATATCTTTGTTCCTTGAGACCAATGACAACAGGGAGGTGAATGATACAACACTGTGGGAAACTCTTAAAGTGTATATTAGAGGACAAATTATTTCCTATGAAGAAACACTGAAAAGGGCTAAACAAAGCAGATTACAAGAGATTGAGAAAGAGCTACAAATTGCTGAACAGGTCTACCAAAATTCACTACTCCAGTCAGATTAGAATACAATTCTTAAATTAAAGTACGAGTATAATATAATCCTGGGAAAACAAATAGGCAACTTACTATTAAAACTTAAACAGGGCTGTCCTTACTATCCAGTTAGTAAATAATATTTGTTTATTCTATAAAATAAAAAAAAGAAAAGGGGAAAAATAGAAAAAAGCTTCTTTTTTTAAAAACTACGTTTTTACCGTCATGTCTTAATAAAAGTGTGCATTAAACAAGCCAAAATGTGCGGATCATTTGCTTGCGATTCTTACTGCCTGGCTCGCTGTTCTGGGCTCGCAGCACTGGCCTGCAGCATGCATGGCATCGTGGGTTAACTTCCTCAGAGTGAATCAACACATGCGATCAGCCAGAGGGATGTAGGTGAGAATAAAGAGCAAAGATTGGGAGTATTTTGATTTAGATAAAGGTGGCACACTTCATTTTGCGCTTATGGTGTGAGGCAGGCCGATGACGCAGCAGGCTGCTTGGCTTGAGCGCAGCGGAGTGGAGCTTAATTGCTTCATAGACTGTATATACTATGGACAACATGGTTCCGCCTACCACCTGTATACGGATTTGAAGCCAAAAAGCTCTCGATATTTCCGGGATTTTTCTTCATTTCCTGAAACCAGCGCTGCGCAGTAGCGATGCGCGCATTCGGCTGTGCAGTCGCCGAGAGTCACTGTGATGACGCTCAGCTCAAACAGCGTATCCCCCCGGGTGAGCTACGCAATCCTTGAACGCCCATAGGCCGTATCAGGTGTCAATCAAAGAAAACATAAACCCCCTAATAACTTTTAAAAACGGAGCTCTACAGAAAAAACGAGGACTTGAGCACAAACCAGTCTTACAGTAACTACATGGTCACATGACCCTGCCTGAGCAGAACAGTGACCCGGTTCCTTGTCTAACTGGTTTTAGCTCATGCAGGATTTGAAACAAACACATTCTTCATTTTGTATGTCACACTCAAAATCAATGTTCTGTGATCACTGGCATCGTCATCATCAATATTATAACAAACCTATCACAAAACATTGATTTTGAGTGTGACATACAAAATGAAGAATGTGTTTGTTTCAAATCCTGCATGAGCTAAAACCAGTTAGACAAGGAACAGGGTCACTGTTCTGCTCAGGCAGGGTCATGTGACCAGTCAGCCAGCTCTGTGTGACATTGTGACATGCTCACACACCACACTGAGATACATACTGTAATATGTGAGCTCCTCGGCTTCTCTCTGTATCACACTGGTTCATACAGAGCTGAGGCCTGAGGCCACACACACACACACACACACACACACACACACACACACACACACACACACACCTTTATCGTCTAGAGTGTGTGTGTGTGTGTGTGTGTGTGTGTGTGTGTGTGTGTGTGTGATGCTTGTTGTATCAGAATAATATGCTGCGTCCGAACTGCCCGCTCGGATACTACATGCTACTGCTACGTGCTACTGCTAGATCCTACTCCTACATACTAAATACGTTGGCCCAATTCGGACACACTAGACGAGCGGTGGGGAAAGACGACCCCGCAGGCAGAGAGTAGGTACTGCGCCCGTGCAGACAGTGGTAACTGAAGCCCCTCATCTGCGGGCCTGGCTGTAGTACTGCAGCTGTGCAGTTTAATGATGGAATAAGTGAGCTTTACCTCCATGATGTCGCCACTTGCTCATAAAATGATTACTTGGGCAAATATGACACCATGACATGACAAAGAGATACAACCGGACATTTTTTAGGACAGTGTGTGAAGTTACATGAAACTTACATCTGTACTGCTGCGGTCCCGCCTGCTGCTGCTGCTGCTGCTCCGACATGGTGCGCGCTGCTGTGGCCAGCCGGCGTTCGCGACACTTTTAAATAGGCAGAGCAGCTGGTGGCGCTAGCATCACATGCGCTTCTACAACTTTTAAGAGGACGAAGAAGAAGCCCGCGGTGCATTTTGGGTCAGTAGCATGCCCGTAGGATGCACCGAGACCAACCTACAATGTGGGCGTGTCTAGCATCTGAAGTTGTATCTGAAGTAGCATGCTACTCGCTCCGGTGGCCAATTCGGACATGCTAGATACTACTTCGACTACTACTTCGACTACTACTTGGCAATTCGGACGCAGCTATAGACTGCTGTAAAACAGGAAGTACGAGTTACCAAGGCGATGTGTACTTCCATCCAGCCACGTGCTGGGCTCTCTCTCTAGCTGCGTTTCCATTACCCATAGATTTGCGCAAAACGTAAATATCGCAATAGAAAACTGGTAATGGAAACACCTACATTTCGAAAAACCTCTCTAATATCGCTAAAAAGTTTTTACGCTCTCATGAGGTGGTTTTTCAGAAGTGTCGATATAGAAGTATATCGCAAAAGTGTAATGGAAACACTTTTCTCGCAATTCTCTGTCACCGGACGTGACGTAGCGGGTCAAGTGACCAGTTCATTTCAAGCGTAGATGGCACGGTATATGTGGACGGGGGAGGAGACGGAGTTATTTCGGAAGTTTTGAATTGTATTTGTATTTTTCTGAAGTTTTGAATCCACAATTCGTCTGTGAATTCCTCATTAACGATCCTCTCCCAGAAATCGCTCATCCGTGTTCGCTCCCATACATACGAGCTTTGCCTTTGAATTATCACCCGCTGCCTTCGTCTTCTGATGACAGCAGCGGCAACAGCAGTAATAGTCACAGAAATAGCTGCTCCAAAACGAAAATTGTTTTGTGTCTCGTCCATGTTGGTGTGCAAAAAGGCTTAAGGAATACGAGGTCGCACGGGCAGGAAGTTTACCTCGTTGCTAGGCAACGGCCATTTAAACACGGCTCGCGAGAGGCAGACGGCTCGCTTATGCACTGAACACCATTCAATGGAAACACCCGCAAATCGCAATTGTACTTTGTCGAAATTTGATAAACATCGCTTTTATTTTGCTTTTATGTAATGGAAACGCAGCTTCTTTCTCTCTCCCTGTCCCTTTCTCTCTCTCTCTCTCTCTCTCTCTCCCTTTCTCTCTCTATCTCTCTCAATTTTTTTTCAATTTCAATAAGCTTTATTGGCATGACTGTTATTACAATATTGCCAAAGCATTACAAAGTATTACAATCCTACCACAACAGTAACAACAACAACAGTAATAACAATAACAGTAATAACAATAATCATAATAATACAACAACAACAATGAAAATAATAATAATTTGAAATATAACATGAATAAATAGTGTCAGTATCATGTTTCTAGTTAAAAAAAGAAAACTTTGAAGCAGTTGTTCAGGTTATTTTCAGCAGCTCTTCTCTTTCTTTAAGGCATGTTTTCACATATCTTACTGCTTCAAAGCAGTGGCCCTTTGTTCTCCTAAGAGATGTCTAAACTAGGCCTGCACGATATATCGTTTGAGCATCGCCATCGCGATGTATGTGTGCGCAATAGTCACATCGCAGAGCCTGCGATGTCGGAGGTGAATGAACTCAGTTAATTTCAAGGGTAACTGACTGAGATACACTGCATGTGACTCTACATGTGCTGTGCAGCGATCCACCAATCTTCGTTCTTTACTCAGTTGCCAATCAGACTCAGTTCTCAGTTGCCAATCAGACTACCCTGCCAGCTGTTAATCAAAATCAGAGAGGAGGAAACCCACCCCTGCACATGTCCTGCACATGGAGTGAGACGTGTGTCCGCTGAGAATTACTTTTGGAACATTCTTCATTACTGTTTAGCCCAACAAATAAGAACTGTATGGGTTTTAAATTGTACATTTCCGTGGACCACTCTACTATAAGCAGTGCGCGTTTTGTGAGGTGCATGCAATCCTCGGAGGACATGCATTTCTCAGCACAACCCCGTTAACAACAATGATCGCAAACTGAGCAACAAACAGAGAAAACCACAGAAGATGGAGATTTGTTGCCAAAAAGAAAAGGAAAGTCAGTTATCTGGAATTATTTCGGTTACAAGACGGATAATGTCGACCAAAACACTTTCTGTGCTCATCTGTTGCCACAATAACGTCCCAGCACAATAAAAGCTAAAAATATCTCTGAGACAGACAAAAGCCATTCTATAAACATTCACAAAAAGAGGTAAGATCAGTGCAGGTTAACTGTCCTCAAGATTTCAGCAGTGCAGCATAACATTAAGTGCTATTCAGGTCATCTGGTGAAAATTCCTGTATTTTTTAATATTGCAATATATATCGCAGGGTTGAAAAAATCGCAATGTTAGTTTTTTCCAATATCGTGCAGCCTTAGTCTAAACTTTTCCTGGTCTGTGAGTTGGGTGAAGTTGGGTGTTATGTGTGTGTGTTTAGTATATGTGTGTGTCCTGATATGTGTGTGTGTCACAGTGTAACAGGAAGTGCTGCTTTGTCTCCAGCTGTGTGTGAGGACAGAGCCGACACAGCTGCTCCTCTCTGGGCAGCCAGGTCTGTGGCGGCCGCTCTCTATGGCCAGGCTGTGGTTGCTGAGTCTGTACATTGTCCAGGTTCTCTTCAGTCTGGGGTCAGTTACTGAACTCGGGTAATCTGCCATGTAGTATTGTCTGTTTAGGGCCAGATAGCATTGAAGTTTGCTTTGGGTTTGGATTGTAAATGTCCAATTGTGTAATTGTTTTTGTATAATTTGGGGGGGGATTGTGTGAGGGCGGTCTTGGTGCTCGGTGTTGGTGAAGCTGAGCTTGTGAACCAGCTGGCTGAGGGGACTTCTGTCTGTGCTCTCCTCTTGGCTCTGCAGGGCTTTGTAGTGGTAGGAGCTGGGGTGGCTTGCTTTGAGGTAGTGGTAAAATTTGATTGGCCTTTTTTGGATCTGAATTAAAAGGGGAAATTGTCCTAATTCAGCTCTGGATCTGTTATTGGGAGTGTTCCTGTGGACTTGAAGAATGCTTTTACAAATCTCTGTGTGCAGACTTTCCAATGGGTGTTTGTCCCATTTCTCAAAGTCTTGGTTTACAAGAGGACCCCACAATTCACTACCATATGATATAATGGGTTCAATTACAGACTGGATTACAGAATATTTTGATCCAGATTCTGGCTGGAATATTAACATGTGAAGATTTTTTAATAGACCAGAAGGCTCTTCTGCCCTTGTCTTGCAGGTCGTTAATGAGTGGATTGAAATTTCGTGTAGATGTGATGTTTTGTCAGAGGTATGTGTAGCTGTGTGTGTTGTATGTCTGTAGAGTCCAGGAAAAATCTGTGTTGGTCTTATGTCACCTGGGGTCCGTTTCACGTAGCAGGTTTAAGGGAAACTCCGAGTTTGTTAACCCTAAAATCAGGGAAACTCTGAGTTTTCCGTTTCACAAAGGAGGGTTAGTTAAACCAGGGAGAGAGGGGTAACTCTAACCTGTTTCACAAAGAGAGGTAACTCAACCTCGCGGTCAGTTACCACAGTAACAGACTTCGTGAACCTAACCTGCTCGGGAGCAGGTTTAACTCAGTAAACCCAGAGTTTCAGGTGAGACATCGGCATTTTCTCATTTTGATCATGTTTTACATTGTCAAGTAAGTATTAAGTGGCAGTTTGATCCCTTAAAAATGCTCTTTTCACACTCAAAACTGAATTTTACTCTCTTATTATGTTCCGTTAAATGATTAGGAATATTAAACTAACACAAAAACGGGTGGTGGTCCAGCAGCCCCACCTTTAACAGTCCTCTACCTCCGTTAAAGGTGGGGCTGCTGGGCCACCACCCGTTTTTCTGGCATCTGCCCTCTTTCTGTTTGCTGAGTGAAAGTCTAATATTGAGTGTAGTGTGTGTTAGTTTAATATATGTACATATACATACTGAGAGTTAGTTTAATATTCCTAATCATTTAACGGAACATCATAAGAGAGTAAAATTCATTTTTGAGTGTGAAAAGAGAATTTTCTAAGGGATCAAACTACCACTTAATACTTACTTGACAATGTAAATTATGATCAAAATGATTCAAGCAGTTTCCCTGCAACAGTCTGTCATTGTGATTGCACGAGACTAGATTTAAAGTTACGCATTGACGCGAGCAGCGATTTCCTCCCATGCCCCCTCCCTCTCCTTTGCAGCTGCTGCTGTATTGCACTTTCTTTTAAAAACGTGCTGTAATTCGCTGTTGGCTTGCTGCTGCCCCCTCCTTCTCCCTGTTTCCATTGGTTGATCATTGAATCTGCGCTCCACAGATGCTGGCTGTTTATGTCTGGCGTGCACGTGCTTAACTCCAGGTCAAACTACTCGGAGTTGTTAAAACCGTCTCAAATCAGGTGTTGTGAAACCGGAAACTCAGAGTTTCCTAACTCAGAGTAGATCAACTCAGAGTTAAGGATTTAACTCAGAGTTTGTTGAACCACCTACGTGAAACGGACCCCTGGTCATTTCTAGAAGACCATGACTCTTGTCTTCTCTGGGTTAACAGTAAGGGCCCAGGTCTGACAGAACCTTTGCAGATGATCTAATTGTTTTTGTAGAGCCTCTTTAGATAGAGCGAGCAGTAAGGCTCCACGATATTGGAAAAAACTAACATTGCGATTTTTTTCAACCCTGCGATATATATTGCAATATTAAAAAATAGAGGAATTTTCACCAGATGACCTGAATAGCACTTGTTATGTTACGCTGCACTGCTGAAATCTTGAGGACAGTTAACCTGCACTGATCTTACCTCTTTTTGTGAATGTTAGTAGAATGGCTTCTGTCTGTCTCAGAGATATTTTTAGCTTTTATTGTGCTGGGACGTTATTGTGGCGACAGATGATCACAGAACACGTGTTTTGGTCGACATCATCCTTCTTTTAACCGAAATAATTCCAGATAACTGACTTTCCTTTTCTTTTTGCCAACAAGTCTTCATCCTCGGTGGTTTTCTCTGTTTGTTGCTCAGTTTGCGATCGTTGTTGTTGTTGTTGTTACCACCGGGGTTGTGCTGAGAAACACGTCCTCCGAGAATTGCATGCACCTCACAAAACGCGCACTGCTTAGTAAAGTGGTGCACGGAAATGTACAATTTAAAACCCATACAATTCTTATTTGTGGGGCTAAAAAGTGATGAGTAATGTTCCGAAAGTAATTCTCAGCGGACACGCGTTTCTTTGCTCAACTCCAGTAGTGCCTGCTACTCACCCCATGTGCAGGGGCGTGGTTTCCTCCTCTCTGATTTTGATTGACAGCTGGCAGGGTAGTCTCATTGGCAACTGACTAAAGAATGAATGTGATTGGTGGATCGCTGCACAGCACATGCAGAGTCACATGCAGTGTATCTCAGTCAGCTACCCTTGAAATTAAGTTCATTCACATCCGACATCACAGGCTCTGCCATGTGACTATTGCACACACACACATAACAATGACGATGCTCAAACGATATATCGTGCAGCCCTAGCGAGCAGGATTAGATTGTCTGCAAAAAATAAGCACTTGACTTGTTCGTTAGAGAGGGTGAGACCAGGGATGTCTGACTTTTCCAGGGATTTGGCCAAATCATCAATATAGATATTGAAGAGGGTGGGGCTGATACTGCAGCCCTGCTTTACCCCTCTACTTTGGGGGAAGAAGTCTGTTTCCATGGTTCCAATTTTCACCGCGCATTAGTGTTTGGCAGTATGAACAAAATCTATTATCACGGTATGAGTGATTTCATATCACGATAACGTATCATGATATGTTTTTTTTTCCCATCTGTAAATTCAATTAATCGCTTCAAAATAACCGTACTGTCACATTTGTTCATTTTCCTTTTTTTTTAACTCGGGTGTAGCGTAGGACCACAATTTAACTAAGAACTGTAAGATACAGTAGGGCAGGGGTGTCAAAGTCAAATGGACGGAGGGCCAAATAAAAAATTTAGCTACAAGCCGAGGGCCGGACTGATCGAATGTTCATTGAAAATTTTTTAAATGACGCATATAGTCTAGTGAACCTAATTGAACCTACTGAAAACCTAACAAATATATTCCAATATGATCAGATAAATAAAGCAATATTTTCTTATGGCTCTGTCAGTAATCTTTAATTTTCAACAGACACAAAAGACAAATTTCCTTTATATAAAAATCCCCATAACATGAACATTAAATGAAAGAAACCGGTATTATTCAAGGCACCATCAGTAGCCTATATTTTCTATTTTAGCAAAAGTGGGCTAAATTTACTTCAAAGAAAAAAATAATAATAGCAATTTTCTATCATCCACTCAACTGAAATATTTTTAAAATATCGTTTTAATTCCTCGGCCTTCTGTAGCCTTTGTTCCATGTCCATATTCTTGTTTTTGTCCGGGTGTTTCGTTTCATAATGTCGTCTCAGATTATACTCTTTCAGTACCGCCACACTTTCTCCACACAGAAGACACACAGGTTTTCCAGCTGCCTCCGTGAACATATACTCCGACTCCCACCTTGTTTGAAACCCCCGGTTCTCAGTGTCCACCTTCCGTTTTGCCATTTTTGATGGGTATCTGAAAGTTAATTTTACTGTTATGCTAACGACTGCTGTGCTAATAAATATTGAAATGAAGCAGCCTACTGCTCGGTGCGTCACCGTTGCATTGTGGGAAATGTAGTATTGGTGCGTGTAAAAGATCTGCGGGCTGCCGGCTTGCTGCGGTCTGCGGGCCGGTTCTAATAATAAATCAAGATCATCCCAGGGGCCGTAAAAAACCTTCTCGCGGGCCGGATGTGGCCCGCGGGCCTTGACTCTGACATATGTGCAGTAGGGTGCTAGCCACCGCTCCCTGGCGTCCCTTACTATGGACAAAGATGCTGTGGACTCTCACTAAATAACAGGGGAGGGACAAGGATATAAAGGGAACAACATAAACATTTATTACACGACAAACAAAACAATGCACAATTGCCTCACTAAATCCTATACTAAATATGTCCTATCTAACTATACTAAGTCCCTACCTAATCCTAAACTAATGGTACCAATGTTGCCCGGGGTTGGAGCTCAGAGGAGGACGTGAGGATTCTGATGCAGCCAGGACGGAGGTCTGTGGAGAGGTCCCGATGTTGAGGGATTATGCGATCAGGTGTCCACGGGAGATGCATGGGAGCTGTTCTCAGGTGAAGAGGGGAGGGGGTGAAGATGTAGTCCAGAGGAGGAGGGGGTGAACTAAGTCCCTAAACTGGGGCCAGTTAACGTTCGCAGGAGGCGAAGGACAATGATACAACTAGCAAGCCTAGCTAGCCACTGTCAGGAAAACGAGAGCTCACATTAATTGGCGAACTAACTTCAGGTCAAAGTCCGTTTGTTTCCTCTTTTAGGTATAATCTTCACAGGTCTAAAAACAACTTGTTGTGCGGGTTATTAATCACACAAAACTTCACCGAAGGAATGAATAAGTGTACATCTGTTGGACACACGAAGCTGCTCCGATCGTCTTCTCTTCTCAAAACTTTTTCCTCTCACTCAACAGGCAGACACACACACACGCACCAAATCACACGCGCACTGATACGAACACATCAGCCTAATTACCGCAACACTGAAAGAACGTATATCTCCGCTGTATGAATGACATCGCACACACACAACAACGATAACAACTGTACATCGCTGCAGTAACAATGATAAACAAGATATATCAAAATAACAAACCAAAAGTAAAGAAGAAAGGGGGCTTAACTGTGCAGGGAGCAGTGGGAAGCCTATGTTACTGCTTAGAGGGGTTCTCAAAGTAAATAATAAAACTAATCTTCTAGCCACTTCTGAGTCTTCAATACACGGGTTTGTATACAAATGCAAACTAAATGTCAGACCAGTCTGGGTTTTTTTTTATCATATGGCATACCTTTGGCGAAAGACTCTGCCAAGCTCTTTTGTATGAGAGGAGCTGCTGCAGCTTTAGTTTTTGGTGCAGCAGGTGCGCCACGCATCTTTTGGTTCTCATAATAAAGCTTAGCGTGTTTCATCTTTAGGTGGTGGAGGAGGTTGCTAGCGTTTCCTCCTCCAGCAACGACAGCCACACAACGCTCTTTGCATAGTATTGTTTTTTGATCATTGTTGAATTTTCTAAATCCGAAGAATCTCCAGACAACCGATGTCGTGATTTGCGCCCTTTTTCAGAACGAGTTCTCCTCCTCCTCCTTCTCCTCCTACTCATGTTGGGTGGGTTGGACTGCCTCTGTTTGCTCGGCACTGCCACTAATCCCCGTGCCGCCATGACCACCCACAAGTAAAGCTGTTTCTTCATTGAAACTATGCCAAGCAGTCTGCTGGATATGCTAGTGCTTACGCTGGTGAATATATGGAAACGCACCCAAACACACACTGACGCGGAGAAATGCTGCAGACATCTGCTCTCTCTCTCCAGTATAAACGGTATTGCAAATTTTCTACTGGTAGACACTTTTATACTGTCACATGGTATATATCGCCCAACACTACTGCGCATTAATTATTTATGTACATTGTTTTAATGATATCATAGATTTTACACCAGTACCCTTTTCTAGTAATTTCAGAAATAGACCCTGATGCCAAATTGAATTATATGCTTTTTTGAAATCCACAAAACAAGCGAAGACTTCGTTTTTATCCTGGTGAACATGTTTCTGGATGATCCAAACCGCCTTACAGGTGGATGACTTGTCTACCTGTAGGGCTGTTTGGAGCGGTTGAGCCTGCTGGGCTGTGTTACATGGGGGTTTGCTGGGGTCCTCCTAATGTACAGGATGATTTTGCTATGGTCTGATAGGGGTGTTAGGACAGTGAACGTCCTAATATAGAAGGGGTCTTTGTCTGTAACACTATTACAGACCTTGTACTGTTGCCAAGAGGAGAGCTGTGTGTGTAGTGACTGAAGGAGTACCCTCGAAGCCAACCGTTGAACATGTACAGACCCATTGTGCGACACATCTTTAGTAGTTGATGCCCATTTCTGTTGACAGTTTTATCAATGTTGTTTCTGTGCAGATGTGGAAGTGGAGGAATGCTGATCTGACCAGGTATATGTTTGTCTCCCTGTTCATTAATTGAATCAAAATCTGTGCCTGTTCTGGCGTTAAGGTTATAGATAAGATATAGGCTGGACACATGAATAGGTCTTTGTCTGTGGAGACAACCTCTTTTTTTATTTTAAACCAAATTCAAAAATCTCCTTTTTTGATTAATTCTTTTGGTTGTGTAAGGTTTGTCTTATACTAGATCAACATCCCTCCTGAATCTCTGCCTTGGCTTACACTCTTTAGTTTGGTAGATGGAAAAATGACTTTTTTATAATCTAAAAGACAACCAGTGGGCATGTCTCCTCTACTCCAAGCCTCCTGCAGTACAATGATATCAAATTTTTCGAATTGCCTATTAAAGGTGGGGTAAGCAGGATTCCAATAAAGAAGCATCTTTTTTTGTGGCGTATATACAAAAAAAACTAATATCAGTCAATAGCTATTAGTTATTGATGACATGTGGTAACATCATGATATCGCTGTGTTCTGTTTTTTCTGTGTAGTCAGCATTTAAAAATTTCTGCGTGGCCTACTCTTTCTGACTGTTAACAAAGCCGATGCATTAAGTTTTTAAAATGAGATAAACTCCCAATCCCACTTCCAATAAAGAGATTAATTCTAAAGCATTTTAGATTTAGTGTTTGGGTACTACCTATATTCTGTTTTGTTTATTTATTGCATGTTCGAAATAAAGCATTAATTCATTCAACTAGTCTAATATAACAATAACCCTTAAATTAAATGAATGAATAAATAAATTAATTAATGAAAAAATACAAATAAAATCAAATGAGAATGAAAAATAAAAAAGATAAAATAAAATCTATCTATCTATCTATCTATCTATCTATCTATCTATCTATCTATCTATCTATCTGTCTGTCTGTCTGTCTGTCTGTCTGTCTGTCTGTCTGTCTGTCTGTCTCTCTCTCTCTCTCTCTCTCTCTCTCTCTCTCTCTCTCTCTGTGGCACACACAGCTGATAATAAACATACACACTCAAGTGTAACTGATGTACTGCTGTTTGGGTCACATGCTCCTGCAGACAGGCAGAGACACTGGATCACAGAATCAGTCCAGTACATACTCTGACAGAAATGGAGATTAAGTAAAGGCAGGAGGTGATGAACTGACCAAGCTGGTGCTGAGCAGGGATGGCCTGCGATTTCTAAATATTCAAATATTTGTTTCAAATCAATCAATCAATCAATCAAATTTTATTTATATAGCGCCAATTCACGACAGTCGTCATCTCAAGATGCTTTTCAAAGAACAAGAGCAGGGCGCCAGAAAACCTTGCGTCCGCCAAGATCGGCACACACGTCCAGATTTATCATCGCGAAACGAGCGTCGGTTCCAGTGCTAATCAACGCAAAGTGAGGAGGTGGTGTAGAAGTTGGCGTTGAGCCGATACTTGCGTTGACGGCACTTTGGCGACGCTGTGTGGCGGTGTTTGGTGACTCACTATGTGACAAGCGTGCACCACATCCCCGTGGCCGAGCAGCACGTCGCCCCACATGACGAACCAGCAGCAGACGGAGGGATGCGAGCTGATCCCTGCCGGGCCGCCGTCCTCGCACGGGAGAATCTCATCGCCACAGTGTGAATGGGTAAGAAGTGAATACACAGTTCAATGAGCCAAATTAATTTATTTTCGCCACCAGACGCTCGAGGACATGTACGAGCCGGTCCAGCCGCTCGTTGATCCCCGCGATCCCCCTGATGATTTCTTCCTGCGATTGCAGGACTGCCTTCGTGAGGACCCTTCCACTGCGTCCGGGTGGTCCAGCGGAAGCGCCGCGGCTGGTGGACGCTCCACCGCTTGTCGGCGCGCTGGTGCTGATGCTGGTGCCGGGGGCCGGGGTGACCCGAATGCCGCTGGTCCTGGCCGACGACTCCAAGCCGGCGGACGGGCTGCCGCGGGCCGGGGTTCCGCAAGCCGGCGACACGGCCGCCACATTGATTTCTGTGACACAATAAAAATTTTGGTTCATTTCAATTCCTGCTTCTGTGTATCTTTTGCGTTTACATCTCTCTCCACGGTATCATAGGTAATGTAATCCAGTATTTAGAGGTCAGTTATGCACATTACAGTTGTTTATTGCATAAAAAGTTATCGAAAAATGAAGTTAAGGGCGAAGTATAAATCACGTCTAAAAATAGACTGAATCCACGTTGAAATGAAGTATAAACTTAGACTAGACGTCTAATATACGTCTTTTGCTCAGTGGGATGGCAAAGCATGTGGACATTTGTGTGACACGCCACTTACCCTATAATAATAATCGCCACCACCCGCTGCTCAAACGGCGTGAGGGTCTCCTCCCCCGGACCCCCACCTGTCTGGCCGGTACTCCTCCGGAGGGCAGCTGTACGCCGCTTGACCTCCACCTTGAGGTCCGACCACTTTTTTTTTTATCTCCGCGGGGGTGCGTGTCTCGGAACCCACTGCGTTCACCCTCTCGCAAACTTTCTCCCACTCCAAGCATTTTCGTTTTGCACTGACGCCACTGGACAGGCTGCCAAACAAAACACGCTGTCGCTCCTCCACCTCCGCCACCAGCACCTCCACCTCGCACGCCGTAAATTTAGTTTTTCTTGTCATTTTGTCTGCGTGCGAGGACAGGGAGACCCTATTTAAATAAATCTGCATATTTATAGGAGGGCGTAACAGGGGCGGGCCCGGTCACTCCGATATCTGCGCTCAATTCCAAACTGATTGGGATTTATCAACGAAACGCACGTGGCTTTCGGCGCCCGCACACCTTGATACATACAGATTTTTTTCAGCGTGACGGACCTTGCGTGCGCTCGTTTCTGGTATGAGTCCCACGCAAGTGTTGATACATGAGGCCCCAGGTCTTGACCATGCTCATTGTTTGATGATCAAGAACTAACCTAAGATGGGTTTTGGCCCATCTCAACTAACATGAGTAGCAGTGGCAAGGAAAAACTTCATTTTAACAGGCAGAAACCTTGGGCAGGACTGGACTCATGCCAGACAGCCATCATGCTGCTGCTGGGTTGGGGAGGAATGTACAGAGATAGAGGGAGAAAGGGGGAGAGGGAAAGAGAGAGAGAGAAGAGGGGAGAGGGCAGGGTGAGAGAGAGAGAGAACAAGATAAGGGTAATGAGAGAGAGAAAGAGTAAGGAGAGGGAGGGAGAGGAAGAGAGAGTAGAGAACGAGGGTGAGAGAGAGGCAGGGGACAGCAGAAACAACAGCAACAACAACAACAGCTCATGTAATGGTGAAACAAAATGAATTCAGCATACAGGGTTAGGATATGAGTAATTATGGACAATGTTAAATTAATTTAATGTGATTACAGTCAGCAGGCCTAATCGTAGTAAACTCTAGTTTTATGTTATTAATGTCAGTGAGGCTGATGTTCATGTCTGCAGTAACAGTCCAGAGGAACCCAAGAGAAGAAGGAGCTCAGGGCCTGAGGCGGACAATCATAGACGATGCGGCTGGAGTCAGGCAGGTCTGCAGCAGCCAACCGTCTGTAGCATCCGTCCAGAGCAACCTAGGAGACTGGGACTCAGAGACATACAGAGAGATCTGGTTGGCAATTTGATGGGAGAAAATGACTTCAATGTACAGGATAATGAAGTAACTAATTATGGACTATGCTAAATTAATTTAAGGTGATTAAAGGGTCAATGACGTATAAGGTTTTTCAACATGCCAATTTTAAAATACCAAAAATAAGAATATCTTTTGCAACAGTTCAAACACTAAGGATGATGTATACAAAAATTTACGTTAAATTTTTAAATTAGGCAATTTTAGTGTTTTTTCATATCGATAAATTGCCCGTGGCCTTAAAAAATGTCATGTGGTACGACCATCATTTATCTCGAAATTATTACATTTTATCAACATACTCCATAGTTTTTTACAAATTGTCAGCAATATCAAGCACATAGGAACAAAGCGTTTGCATTTTATTTGAGTTTTTGTGAATAATGATCTCATATATTAGCTCTATAATGTCACAGTTGGTATATTAAATGTAGTTAACTGACTTTTTTTTTCTTTAAATTGCATAATACTGATGAAAATGTTTTGAAACTACCTTTCATGTGAGCATATTGTATCAGGTATTAATGTCTCAGTTACAGAAATGAGATATTTTAGTTTGTATTTGATACAATTAATGTTATTATTGGTCGCACCACATGATTGTTTGTCACGCCAAATGACCCGAAGACCTTGTATCATTAAAAATCAATTTAAAGAGACCTATGAACAATTAATTTCATGCAAATTTTATATTCAAACCAAATTATATTAACATTTCAAACATGAAAACAAACATTTCATTTCATTTTTTTGACAAAAATTTTACTCTTATTGTGTGTGGCCCAGAGGCCTGTACTATGAAGCTGGATTAACACACCCAGCATAACTCTGCCACAACTCGCTCAACTTCACCGGATCTCCGTAATCCTGATCAGCTGTACTACGAGGCAGGATATCAACTCACTAACTAAATTTAGTTGTGGTCAGTCTAGATCTGTGCACGCACACGTAAAGGGGGTGGGGTCAGTGCCACCGGACCAGTCTCCACAATGGAGAAGGCTGCACATCATATTTCACAGCCGAGGAACAGAGCATTATTTTATGCTAATACGAGGAGTACTGCAACATTATAACAGTGAGGAGCAGGACAGCCACAGCCGCTAAAAGCCGGAGGGACTGCTGGCAAAAAAATTATCGATTGTGTAAATTACATTTGTGCATTCATAAATTTATGGCCCCCTAATATGTTGTCATGCAGCGTGTGTGATTACCTCCATCATTGACCTCATTATGTCAGATACAACAGCAGTGGGGGAAAGAATACTTGGGAGCAAATAAGAATAAATCTAAAAACATCTGTCAAAGTGGTTAGTAGGTTTATTGGAAGATTTTATTTGTTCATATTTCAACGCGTTAACAGTGATTTCCTCACACTGCCTTTTTTTCTTTTTTCTCCATCATCTGATGGTCACATGTCATCTGCAGATACATTTGGGCTTAAGAGGAGTTTTCTAATCTGCTTCAATAAATTCTGAATGATGACTGATATGCTGCATGAAATTGGAACTTGGAGCTTGGCAAATATTAGTGCATTGCTGAGACTTCATGCTACCTGAATATTGAGGCCGTCCAAGGAAAACCTGTAACATTCATAGAGAACGTCATCAGGTAAATCAAATAGATTTGAACGATCATGAATATAATGCTCTCTGCAAAGCGCTCCTCTCACTCTCTGTGCAACGATGTCCTCAGGATCTGGCAAAGTGGGCAAGCCATTTTCCAAGAGATCTGATTGGTCAGTGGGCGGTCTTTTATACCTGCTGAGATCTTATCCTGAAACATAACCTGCTCCAGAGCAGGTCTGGTGTTCCGCGTAACTTACCGGGGCAACGGACCTGGATAGAAAGAAATCCACCTTCATCGTGCGGTAAACCCAAGAGTTATTCCAGAAGTTATCTCGCTAAGACCAAATCCAGCTTCGTTGTACAGGCCTCAGGCCTTTTTAAACTTTGCCCAATCTTGGCCCAATCTTTGACGAGCCCTCGCATGAACAACATGCAGGTGAGAGGTGACAGTGAGAGTATCTATTTAAGTCATTTTAAAATAAATTAAAATGACTTAAATAGATACATGAAAATTAATAAACTGCTAACAACGGCATAAATACCTAAGTGAAATGGCATGTTTTTAATATTTTTTTCTTATTTTGTTCAAAGATGAACTAACCATTATTTCTGAAATATTAGCAAAATGACACATCAAATAACAAAAAAATATTCAAAATAATACTAAAAATGTAGTACTTAGTTTTTATCAATCATCAATTGAATATAAAAAGCGTAAATACTGCCAATCTCTGGCATATATCTATGATGGAAAACAATCTGCAGTGGTCGTACCACATGATAATTGGTCGCACCGCATGACAGTTTCAAGTTCAGTCAAATCTTATTGATACAGGATTAGTCACATAAACAAAGCTCACTTGCTTCCCACAAAAGTTCACTATGAAATTTATAATTAAAACACATTTTTGTGGAAATAAATTGTTTTTTTTTTAAGGCCATACCACATGATATCCAAATGTGGCAACTCCATTACAGCAGTTGAAAAGGTCTTTTTTTGTATTTTTTTAAAGAAATGAGAGAGCCACCAACCCTCTTTCTGCTTCCATAGATCTACAACAAAAAATGGTGAAAAACATGTGCTGTGCAGCGATCCACCAATCCCCTTCGTTCTTTACTCAGTTGCCAATCAGACTCAGTTCTCAGTTGCCAATCAGACTACCCTGCCAGCTGTCAATCAAAATCAGAGAGGAGGAAACCCACCCCTGCACATGGAGTGAGTAGCTGGCACTACCGGAGTTGAGCTGAGAAAGGTGTGTCCGCTGAGAATTACTTCGGAACATTACTCATCACTGTTTAGCCCAACAAATAAGAACTGTATGGGTTTTTAATTGTACATTTCGGTGGACCACTTTACTATAAGCAGTGCGTGTTTTGTGAGGTGCATGCAATTCTCGGAGGACATGCGTTTCTCAACACAACCCCGGTGGTAACAACAACAACAACAACGATCGCAAACTGAGCAACAAACAGAGAAAACCACCGAAGATGAAGACTTGTTGCCAAAAAGAAAAGGAAAGTCAGTTATCTGGAATTATTTCGGTTACAAGAAGGATTATGCCGACTAAAACGTGTTCTGTGTTCATCTGTTTCCACAATAACGTCCCAGCACAATAAAAGCTAAAAATATCTCTGAGACAGACAGAAGCCATTCTACTAACATTCACTAAAAGAGGTAAGATCAGTGCAGGTTAACTGTCCTCAAGATTTCAGCAGTGCAGCATAACATTAAGTGCTATTCAGGTCATCTGGTGAAAATTCCTGCATTTTTTAATATCGCAGTATATATTGCAGCGTTGAAAAAAATCTCAATGTTAGTTTTTTCCAATATCGTGCAGCCTTACTTTGAAGTTCAGAAAAATTACAAAAAACTCCAGATTTTTGAAAAGTTGAAGTGACTCCATATATTAGAGATAGTATAGATAGTATATTTTTTTACATTTAAACCTTTTTGTAACTTAAAGAAAATACAGCCGGACAGAATATTTGGGCGTCACGTCATTGACCCTTAAGTTAAAACTCAATTGCGGTTTACTCTAGTTTTATTTTATACATGTCAGTTAGGCTGACGTACGTGTCTGCAGCAACGGTCCAGAAGAGCCTAAGAGATGGAGGAGCTCAGGGCCTGAGGTGGACAATCAAGGATGATGGAGCTGGGGTCAGGCAGTTCCGCAGCAGTCCGTCTGCTGCATTAGTCCAGTGGAAGCTAAGGAACTCAGAGACACTCGGAGAGAGAGAAATGTGGTTAGTGACTTATATGGGACATAAAGATCTAAAGGAGAGATAGAGACAGACTCTTGCTAAGTGTGCCAGATAACCCCGGCAGTCTAAACCTATAGCAGCATAATGAAGAGCTGGTTCAAATCAGCCCCAACGATAAGCTTTATCAAAGAGGAACGTTTTAAGTCTACTCTTGAAAGTTGAAAGGGTGTCTTCCCCCCGAACCTCGAGCGGTAAATGATTCCAGAGGAGAGGTGCCTGGTAGCTGAAAGCTCTTCATCCAATTCTACTTGTAGAGACATTTGGTACAATGAGCAGACCTGCAGACTGTGAGTGTAATGATGTAGACGGAAAGTAAGGTATAACAAGCTCGTCGAGATATGACCGTTAAGCGCTTTATATGTCATAAGGAGGATTTTAAACTCAATTCTAGATTTAATAGGGAGCCAATGAAGAGAGGCCAAGACAGGAGAGATGTGCTCCCTTCTTCTGGTTCTAGTCAATACCCGAGCTGCTGCATTTTGGACCAGCTGAAGAGTCCTTAAAGACTTATTGGAGCAGCCTGATAAGAGAGAATTACAGTAAACCAGCCTAGAGGTAACAAAGGCATGGACTAGTTTTTCTGCATCACTCTGAGACAGGATGGGTCTAATTTTTGAGATATTGCGCAGGTGGGAAAAAGCTATCCTAGAGATTTGTTGAATGTGGGAGCTGAAGGACAAATCCTGATCAAATAAAACTCCCAGATTTCGCACAGTGGGGCTGGATGCCAGACTGATGCCATCTAGCATAGCTATATTATTAGAGAATGCCTCTCTAAAGTGTCTAGGACCGAGGATCAGAACTTCAGTTTTGTCTGAGTTGAGCATCAGAAAGTAATTGGTCATCCAGGATTTTATATCTTTGAGACAAGCTTCTAATTTGGTCACCTGGTTTGTTTCTTCTGGCTTCATGGATAAGTATAACTGGGTTTCATCTGCGTAACAATGGAAATTAATCGAGTACTTCCTCATAATTTTACCCAGAGGAAGCATGTACAAGGTAAAGAGGATCGGTCCAAGCACTGACCCTTGCGGGACTCTGTAGCAGACTTTGGTGTGCGCAGAGGATTCATTATTAACATGGACAAACTGGGATTGATCCGTTAGATAAGATTTAAACCAGGAAAGAGTGGATCCTGCGATGCCGAGAGATTGTTCCAGTCTCTGAAGCAGGATGCGGTGGTCGATCGTGTCAAACGCAGCCCTAAGATCCAACAGGACAAGAACAGAGAGAAGACCACCAATCCTCCAATAAACCGTTATGAAGAAAATCACAAAGTTGATTCGCAACAACTTTCTTTAGGACTTTAGAAATAAAAGGAAGGTTGGATATTGGTCTATAGTTAGCTCGGGTGCTTGGGTCAAGAGTAGGTTTTTTAAGGAGAGGTTTAATCAATGCAGTCTTACCAGACTGGGGAACATATCCTGTCAATAAAGACGTATTGATCAAGTTAAGCAAGGAGGTACTGCTCAAAGGAAGAGTTTCCTTCAGCAGTTTAGATGGAATTGGGTCTGAAAGACACATAGATGGTTTGGTTGTCAACACCACTGAATTTAACTCAGGAAGGTCAATAGGTGCAAAGTTACTAAGGTGCACCTGAGGCCTTAGGGGCTCCTCAACAATTTCAAGGTTATCTAAGAGAGAGACACCTGACGAAGGCAGGAGGTTACTAATTTTACCTCTTATTTTTAAGATTTTTTCATTGAAGAAGCTCAAGAAGTCATCACTGCTGAGGGCTAATGGGATGCACGGTTCAGCGGTGCTCTGACAGTCCGTCAGCCTGGCTACAGTGCTGAAGAGATATCTGGGGTTATTCTTATTTTCTTCAATAAGAGACAAGTAGTAGGTTGTCCGAGCATGTTGTCAGGCCTTCTTATATTTATCAAGACATTCCTGCCAGAGAAAACGAGCTTCAGCTGTTTTGGAAGAGCGACAAATCCTTTCTCGTCTTCTTAATAACTGTTTCAGCTCACGGGTTTCAGCATTATACCACAAAGCCAGCCTCTCGCATGTAACAGTTTTCTTTTGAAGAGGAGCAACTGAGTCAAGAATTGATCGCAGTGTGCCTGAGGTATCATCGACGAACTGATCAAGTTGCAAGGGACTGATATTGAAGTATGAGCTATCAATGAAGTTCTTCTCAAGCACAGAATTAAGAGCAGAGATTTTGTTATGAGGAGAGTAGCCTGAAAGCACAAATTCAAAAGTTACTAGAAAGTGGTCCGATAAAAGAGGATTTAATGAGCTGACTGACAAGGCTTCAGCTTCAAGGCCATAAGCCAGGACAAGATCGAGGGTGTGGTTAAAGCAGTGCGTAGGTCCATGTACACACTGTGTAAACCCAATTGAGTCTAGCAAGGACAAGAAAGAAATGCTTAGGCTATTATTTTCCACATCCACATGAATATTAAAGTCACCAACGACAATGACTTTGTCTTCACTAAGGACTAGATCAGATAAAAACTCTGAGAATTCTGACAAAAACTCAGAGTATGGGCTGGGAGGGCGATAAACTATAGCAAATACCAGTGGTCTCATGGTCTTTGAGGCTGGATGTGGAAAACTGAGAACAAGACTTTCAATAGAGTTATAATCCAGTTTTGGTCTTGGGTTAATTCCAAGACTGGAATTGTAAATAGCTGCAACTCCACCACCTCGGCCAGAGTCCCGAGGAATGTGAAAGCTGAGGGGCTAGGAGGAGTGGATTCATTTAAGCTGACATATTCATCCTGACGCAGCCAAGTTTCGGTTAGGGAGAGTAAATCAATGCAATGATCAGAGATTAGTTCATTTATTAACACAGATTTGGAACTTGGAGATGTTATGTTCAATAGACCACATTTTATCTTACTAGTACTCGGTTCAGCTATGTTACCAGTTTTAATTCTAGTAAGGTTCTTGTTATTTACTCCTTTGTTAATGAATCGGTTAGAATTAAAGACCCGAGGACGAGGGACAGACACAGTCTCCATATTAAAGTGACAGTAGCTAGGAGGCTGCTCTAACAAAAGTGCAGAGGAATGTGTAGAACTGCGGCTATGCTCCCTGATCTCTATATCAAACTGATTGTAGCTAGGAAGCTGCTCTGAAGGGAGTACAGAGGGGCGTGTAGGACTGCGGCTCTGCTCCCTGATCTCTATATCAAACTGACTGTAGCTAGGAGGCTGCTCTGAAGGGAGTGCAGAGGTGCGTGTAAGACTGTAGCTCTGCTCCCTTGTCTCTGTATGTGATAGTGGCTGGGAAGCTGCTCTAAAGGAGGCACAGGGGGGCGTGTAGGACTGCGACCCTGCTCCCTGATCTCTGCTCTGAATTGTCAGTGGTACAGAATAATAAAATCGGCCAGATTTCTGGATAAATGGGCCGCTCCAGCTCAAGTGGGATGAATGCCATCCCAACTAATCAGACCAGGCTTGCCCCAAAACGACTTCCAATTATCAATGATCCCGTTCAAAAACTGAGCAGTTCCTGCAGCTGCTATCTCATCCTGAATGTTTTAATTACTGATTTTTTCTGGTACCTGGTTTGGATGCTGTCAAAAAGCTTGACCTCCTGTTTGTGTGTGCTGCACATTCAAAGGCTACTAATACTAACTGCTTCTTAAATAACAAAGGAAGGAGGAGGCATTAGGTTTGGTGCTGTGGGATTCAGAGCTTGAGGAACTGCAGAGTTCTGTAAGGATTTCTTTTTAAGTAATCTTTTTGGTATGATCTAGACTGGCACCTTTTGTAAATGGGGGTGGGGGGGTTGGGTGGGGTAATCATCAAATTGTACTGGTAGCAATTCGTAGCACTACTGTGTGCATCATCAGTACTGTGCACTGACGAACAAGCTAAGCTGGTGGACCTACAGCTCTCTGTAGAGCAGCTGTATTTACTGAAGCTTTAAAAAACAAAGATTTTAAGACCTTAACAGGCTGCCTAATGTGTATGTGTGTGTGTCCTCAGATCTGTCCCGCAACCGTCTGTCAGAGCTTCCTCTGGAGGTCTGTCTCTTTGTGTCTCTGGAGAGTCTGAACCTTTATCAGAACTGTCTCAGGTCTCTGCCAGACAGTCTGATCAACCTGCAGGCCCTCACCCATTTGAATCTCAGGTAACACACACACACACACACACACACACACACACACACACACACACACACACATCATCCTAAAGTGACAGTAGCAGAGTGTAAATTCACCTTCTAATGCATTTTTAACTGATCTGTATCTTGGCTGTGATTCCGTTGTAATGTTGGAATAAACTAATATTAATATAATAATAATCCCGCCCATCAAACAGATTTTTCTTCCAGTCTGACTCACTGCAGTCCTCATAGGGGGAGGTTAAGGCTGGACGATTATGGCAAATATAACAATCACGATTATTTTGACTGATATTAAAATCATGATTAATAAACACGATTATTGGTGGGGGTAATCAGCTGTTTGATTGCCAGCAATAACTTGCTGATGCTAATACTCGGCTGCTATATTTAATGATGGTCCCTTATTCAACACCCGATGTTGACAGTGAGGCTGCTGAGTAGCTTTAACCGCGCTGCTGTCGCTATTCCCGGTTATGGAGAGTGAGAAGACACATGTAGATCTGCAGTGAATGTCCGTCAGTTATCCAACCTAAAACTAACTTTACCACCGTATGTATATGAAAAACCATTTGTATCCTCTGCTGATTTTTTTATGCGCTCATGTGCCCCTAAATACATTTTACAATTTGCACACATCTATTTTCAGTCGCAAATGCGAGTGAAACGGTCGCACTGTCGAGCCCTGACATCACACGCTTGCTGCAGTTGCACGTAACATTGGTGGTTTCAAAGTGTTTTCCCAGCACAGCAACTTACATACACGCCGGAGCAGCGCCGTGTGGCACATTAATTGTTTTTCTTCAATTATAATGTTTTTATGATTGTGAGAAACCAAATGGAAATCATGATTAAAATTCGATTAATCTTCCTCTGCTGCAGAAAATAGTCCTAAACACATGCATTCCTTCATAGCACTAGTTAGGGCTGAGCATAAGATGAATTTAATGAGAATATACTGTCGACTAACAGCTGTCTGTGCATTTGTCTGTGTATTTGTTTGTGCATCTGTCTATGCTTTTGTCTGCATCTCTGTCTGTGTCAGTCGTAACCAGCTGTCAGTCCTTCCTGTCGTGGTCTGCAGTCTCCCTCTGAAGGTTTTGATCGCCTGTAACAACAAACTGGTTTCTCTGCCGGAGGAGCTGGGACAGCTGAGACAGCTCACTGAACTGGTCAGTCTGACTCATCTTTACTGGGTTATTATCATTTAAACAGTTTGCATTTCCTACAAAATTCATCTATAACATCATTAATATGGGTGGGATTATATCAGAGGAAGACTCAAAACACTGTTTGTAGACTGTTATCTCTCACTCATACTCTATTCATCACCTGATTCGGTGTAGATTCTAACCTGGCCATCTTTGTTCCCATCTTACCTGGTTTGGAGTAGAGTGCAGTGATGGAGTAGATTTTTGTTTCAAGACAAAAAAAACCTCTTCAGTGTTCGGTGAAGACTTGAGGGTAAAAACTGTTTATGGGTCTGTTGGTGTGAACTTGGAAGGATCTATTGCGAGGAAAGGAGCTCACACAGGTCATAGGCAAGGTGAGCTAGATCCCTCAGTATGCAGTTGGTGTAAACAGAGAGAGGATTAGACATCTTCAAAGACAAACAGACAGATACAGACAGACAGAAATCAACATCTGATCAGTATTAAAACATTTTCTATCATTAATGACAGGTCAGTTATTGAAATCATCATCCATTACTGACCCGATTAAATCTATATGAAATATCTAAGACACACACACACACACACACACACACACACACACACACACACACACACACACACACACACACACACACACAAAGAGGTTATTGGACAAAAACTGATTGTGTGCTGCCCCCTGCAGGATGTGAGCTGTAATGAGATCCAGACTCTGCCTTCTCAGATGGGTCAGCTGGAGGCTCTACGAGACCTGAACATCAGGAGGAATCACCTGGTTAGACTGCCCCCAGGTACATGCACAGGCACACACACCAGCTTTAATTTTTCCGGGACCACATAGAGAGACATCAACCAGTTTTCTGTTCAGATACTGTGTGTATTAATGTGTGTTGAATTGTGTGTGTGTGTGTGTGTGTGTCTGTCCCTGTCCTCAGAGCTGGCCGACCTCCCTCTAGTGCGTTTAGATTTCTCTTGTAACAAAGTCACGTCCCTTCCTGTCTGTTACCGTCAGCTCACTCAGCTGCAGACCATCATCCTCGACAACAACCCCCTACAGATGCCACCTGCACAGGTACACACAGGGAGTGACATCAGCATGCTGGTGCAGCAGCAGGCTACAGCAGAGTATCTGAATGTGTATGTCTGTGCTCTCTGTAGATCTGCATTAAAGGGAAGGTGCACATATTTAAATACCTGAACCTGGAGGCCAGCAAGACAACGCCTGACCTCCCAGACTACGACAGAAGACCTTTGACCTTCAGCTCCTGGTCAGAACACACCTGTATTCACACCTTTACAACGAGACTGACTAGACAGTAAAGAACAGCCCTGACAGTGTAAAATTATCCTGCCCCAAACAAATACATATCCTATAAAATATAACTTTGGTAAGAATCAAGAGACGACTGAATTTTTCAGAAATCAGCTTCTCTACTTATATTAACAGTCATTCCATTTTAGTGTCTCTTGAATTCCAACCCAAGAACACACCTGTTTCTATCTGATTAGGTACTGATGATAGTTATCACCTGAACCAAATCTTAATTAAGGAGGACATAAAAACCATTGCTGTGGTCATCACTATCCTATTGCAATAGGACCAGCTGGATGGCAAAAATAGTGCTAGTAGAACATCAAAAGTAACTGGAACAAAAAAATAACTATTGACAATGCCAAGAGAAATGAAAAGAAACGTTTTATGTCAGGGAAAAAAGGGTTCAATGCTGGCTTTACTGGCAGAGGGATACAGTGAGCTCCAGGTGCTTCATTCCTTGAATTTCCTAATTTCCAGCTTTGTCCAACAATTTGTCCTGTGGTTAGATGGAGACCCGTAGAGCCTTACAAGCCACAATGTTGTTTTTTCCAGTGGGCAATACTCCATGCCACACAGCCAGGTCAATCAAGGTGTGGATGAAGGACCACTAGATTAAGCCCTTGTCATGGACAGCCCTATTTCCAGACCTGAACCCCATTGAAAACCCCTGGTTTGTGATCAAGAGAAAAGGTGGATGTTAACAAGCCATCAAACAAAGCTGAACTGCTTGAATTCTTGCACCAGTAATGGCATAAAGTCACCAGACAGCAATGTGAAAGAATGGGGGAGAGCATGTCAAGACGCAAGAAAGCTGTGATTGTAAATCAGGGTTATTTCACCAAATATTGACTTCTGAACACTTTCTTAGTTAAAACATGAGTAGCTTTTTTTTTGCATTATTTTAGGTGTCTTGGCCATTTTTCATTTTTTTGCAAATGGATGTTCTAAACAACAATATTTTTATCTGAAATTTGGGAGTTATGTTGTCAGTAGTTTATAGAATAAAGCAGAAATGTTAATTTTACTCAAAAATATGCCTATAAATAGCTAAATCAGAATAACTGATTATTTTGCTGTGGTCTCTTAATTTTTTCCAGAGCTGTATATTTATTATGAAGACTTTTTTGTGAAGGTCTCTGACTGAAGGTGTTTCTGTCCCTGATCAGTGTTGATGAGCTCTACCCCGGGCGTCCATACGGAGCTCTAGACTCTGGATTCAACAGCGTGGACAGTGGAGACAAGAGGTGGTCGGGGAACGAGGTGAGAAACACAAACACACACATACACACACGCACGCACACACACAAACACTCAGCATTTCCTGTATATGTGTATGTACGTTTGCTGACTATGTGTGTGTTCAGCCGACAGAGGAGCTGTCAGAGCTGCCTCAGAGAGTGGCCGAGATCAGCAGAGACCAGAGACCCCGTGGAGGAGGAGGAGCTCAGTTGGCTAATGGCTCAGGTAGCTTCATACTTGTCCACTGACCTGATCCACAGTTTAAAGGCTAAAACAGAATGCGTATTTGAAACGTGGCAGCAGCGTTGTGTATCACGTAGCAAAAAGGTTGCCATTCTGATCAATGCAGCAAAGCATACAGCATACGTATCAGCTCTGTCGCAGAATCATATTGAGAGCAGTGCTGCTAAAGATACGTGACGAGTATCTACGCTTCCATTGCGCGTTAATCCACAAAGAGAAGATTGTTCTAGACTGGTAACTCAAGCACGAATTATGTGCATGTAAACCAATATTTCAAAATAAAACACCATATGCGAATTTCCGACTGTGTATCAGTTTTTGTAGATGAGAAATACTTCCCAGATTTATCAGTAACACAGAACAATCCGATGGTCAGTCCCTGATCCATGTGGACCTCAACAGGACTTTTAACTGCTAACTGTGTCTGGAGGTAACAGCACTGCTGAAAGGAACAAAGTTTACTTTATTAAACACACGTAAACCTGTTCAACGGCCACTAAATTATATCCAAATTAGCAGGAACTAGACCACAGAAAGGAAAAACAATCTGTTGGGAGCCCAGCTGACCGGGACTGCACTACGCTGCTGCTACTCTCAAATTACACATCCTATATGCGATACCCAATGCTGCTTTATGGAGCAAATACGGAACAAGTTCAATACGGATTCTGTATGATTTCGGCTTTAGAGAGGGAACGTGTCCTTTGACACAGACTGACACACATCTGTGACTCCTGTGTGTCTCTAAAGCAGATGCAGGCTGTACTATTAGGCAAACCAGGCATTTTCTTGGAGCCACCCAGTATGCCTTCTTTATATTTTGTCCTCATATTCCTTTTTTTCAATCAAAATCTCTTCACAATAGTGGCATTGGGATGTCTAATTTGATTTTTCAATTCAATGAAGCTTTATTTATATGGCACTTTTCGTACATAAGTAAATGCAATTCAAAGTGCCTCACAGAGGCTAAAAACAACAATGAAGATAAAAACCCAACCCTTCCACCCACACATACACCCATGGACCCACACGCACACAAAGACACACACCCACCCTCACTCACCCACACAAACACACACACACAACTGCACACAGTGTGAGAATTTACGATATAAGTTAAAGAAACATGGCCTGACACCGAGACATTACATGAGGAAAGAGCTACCTTTAGGAAACACAGGAGATAAAAATAGAGATCAAAATGGTAAAAAGAGTAAAACCTGATGGACTAAAATAATAATGTTAAATGAACAAATAAATAAAAGAGGTAAAAGAGGTAAAAACCTGTGACGGGAAATTAAAAAAAAAAGGCTAGGAACAGAGATAATGGATAGAATGACATAAAATAAACATTAAGAACTTTGATTAAAATTAACATTTGCAATAAGAGAAATCTAAAATGGCAATTAGTAAAAAGCCTGGTTAAAAAAGTGAGTCTTGAGCCTCTTCTTACAAATATCAACAGTCCCTGCGGCCCTAAGGCTCTCCGGCAGGCTGTTCCACAACCGGGGACCATAAAAACTAAACGCCGCCTCCCTGTGTGTTTTTGTTTTGACTTTGGGTAAAGTTAAAAGGCCTGTGCCAGAGGACCTCAGGGTCCGCAAGAGTTGATATGGTAAAAGTAGATCAGATAAATAGAAGGGGCCAAGACCATTGATACATCTAAAAACTAATAAAAGAACCTTAAAATCAATCCTGAAACGGACGGGGAGCCAATGCAACGATGCTAAAACTGGCGTTTTATGCTCTCGCCCTCTGGCCCTCGTCAGCACTCTTGAAGCTGAATTCTGTAAAAGCTGAAGTGTATGTAAGTTCTTCTTTGGGAGGCCAGAGAGCAGGGCGTTACAATGATCTAAACGTGAGGAGATAAAAGCATGCATCAACACCTCCGTGCTGGCCTGAGAGAGAAACAGGCAGACTCTGGCTATATTTTTAAGGTGGTAAAAACATACCTTTGCTATGTTTTTGATGTGTGGAATAAAACTGAGCTCAGAGTCGAAAATTACGTCCAGGTTTTTTATAGATGTTGATACTTTAAAATCTTGTAGTTTTGGTAAAAGTATCTCTCTCAGGCCTTCAGGACCAATAACTAAAACCTCTGTTTTGTCCTGGTTGAGCTGCAGGAAGTTGGCTGCCATCCTGGACTTAATGTCTAAAATGCAATTTAAAAGGGCATCAATTGGCCCGCTATCATCAGGAGACACGGCCATGTACAGTTGCGTATCATCAGCATAGCTGTGGAAGCTGATGCCGTGCCTCCTGATGATGTCCCCCAGGGGAAGCATGTAAAGATTAAAAAGAGTTGGACCTAAAATTGACCCCTGGGGAACCCCACGCATAATTTTATATGATCAATTACTCATGTTTTGATGGTCTTTCTACCAACCGTGCACCCCCTTCAGTCTGCAATACATGGACTTTCCCATGTTACATATCACATTGCACATATGCAGAAATGATTACAGTACAGTGGCCAGGATGTGTTAAGCAATTTGCATATTCAAAAAAGCGAGAAGTGTGTACAGCAGCATGGTTTTGCTTACTTATAGGAAACCTTTTATTTCAGATTTTAGGATATGTTTCAGATAAGTTACGCTCCCATAATGGACTAAATTGATATCACTCCACTCCTCTCTTTATTTGTATTGTCATAGATATAGGAGTGTGTTTGATCCTCTGTTACTTTCTTCCATCATTCAGATTTACTGAGGAGTTTATCTCCACATACTGATGTCCTCTTTCAAATTATACTCTCATGTTTGGTGACTAGCTCCACGCTGTACAGAGATGCTTAGTGATGCATCTCGAGTATATCCCATATAACCAAGCAGTAACTTCCAGTCTTGTGGAATAAAGTTGATGTATAACTGTTAAACATTGCAGTTCCCTGTCAGTCCACAGGTGGCTGTCTGTGTAAACAGCAGAAACCATGGACATAACTAGAAAATTCCCTCTGAGAAATTTTGAAAGTGCCACAGGGGCTTCTGCAGGGGTGTTGTTATTATTATAATTATTATTATTATTATTTATTTATTTGATTAGGACAATGCTCATTAATTGACATATCGGCAGAAGCATCATTGTAGATATGCCGGAGTTAGCATAAATGCTCATTTTAATCTGTTGTGCTATGGCAGATGTTTAAAAACATGGAAACAATACATCATACACAATACGCTATGAAAAATAGATAACACATGCAAGATCTTACATACCGAGTTATTTCCAATTTACATAGAAAAGATAAGAAGGTTATTGATGAGAGCAGGTCTAATTTGTTATTAACCACTGCTTAAGGGTCTTTTTAAAGGTGGTGTAGTTTTATACATCTTCTAACATAAGCTGGCAGTGAGTTCCAGGACTGTGTTTCTCTGATGGACACCACCATTTGGCCAAATTTAGTTCTGCGCTGTTGTACATGACAATCTCTTCTACTCTGTGCTCTGGTGTTTACTGTAAATGATTTTTTCTTGATGAAGTCCTGGGGCCTCATTTATCAACCGTACGTTCGCATAGATGTGTGCGTTAAGAGTGCGTACGAACATTCCCACGCAAAGTCTGGAATTTATCAACCTGTACTTGTGTTTCGGAACGTGCGTAAATTTAAGCACAACTCTGACCATGCGTACACACAAAACCTAGTGGTAGGACAGTAAAACTACAAATAGAACCCATTAAAGGAGTCACAGCGTTCTGCAATCTCAAACTTCACACATTTTCCCGTTGCCTCTATACAAAATTTATCAATTAGCAATTTAGCAGACATTTTGAATCATTGGTGAGACAAGCTATAAAAATCTGCTGTGACAGGACAACCTCAAAAGAAGTCTTACAAGTAAAAATACAACTATCATGGTTTATTTTGCGCTATTGGAGGACTTGGAGAAGCGTCTGCTCCTCCGCTGGGAGCGCGTTTTCAAAGATCGTGCTGATCTGTTCAGTGAGAACTCAGAGTGGATTCTCAGCAGGTACCGCTTCCCCAAAACATTTTAATGGATTTACGCCTTGATTTACTACCCGTGTCGAAGCGAGAAACAAAACGCACCAAAGCCATCCCAGCGCACATCCAGCTCCTGTCCACCCTAACCGGAACATTTCAGCGTGAGATTGGAGACATATGCGATATTTCGCAGCCAACGCTAAGCAGAATCATGCTGGCAGAGTTGGATGTAATAATTTCTCTGGCCTCAATTTACATCCAGTTCCCAAACACACATCAGCAACAAGCTGAAATAAAACGAGGATGTCACGCCATCGCCGGATTCCCAAACACAATTGAAGCCATAGATTGCACCCACATCGCAATAAAAGCACCTTCACACAATAAATTCAGATTCGTCAACAGGAAAAGATTTCATTCAATCAATGCACAAATAATCTGCACACACATTTGATTCTGTTAAACGTTGTTGCCCGGTGGCCTGAAGGAAAGCACGACTCATTCATTCTGCAGAACAGCGCTGTGAGTGTGCACCTCCAGGAGGAGGAAAAACATTCATTCACGCATTTTTAAAGGGATTGCTGATGCCATATATGGTCAATTGGAGGCGTTCCTGAATACAAATGACCCTAACCATGCACGAGCACGGTAGTAAAGAACAGTTGGGATTTATCATCACCGATTACTTACGTGTGTGCGTACGACCGGTGTCCGCATTGATAAATATGGATTTTTTTGTACTTACGCACATTCTAAATTTCATTCCTAGACCAGAATTTAGAACCTTTCCTACGCACGTTTGATAAATAAGGCCCCTGGAGTGGTAGTGGGGCTAAACCATTCAGAACCTAGATGAGACAAACATCCAAAAACAACTGGTTGCTATCAGAGTCCAAGATTTTAAATTTTTTAGTAATTTTACAGCAGTGGTAATATATAGGTTTTTTGTCTAAAGTTTAAAGTGTTCTCTTGAAGAGGAACTTGATTGGTTTTAAAATACTCTCAGATGTATGTGACCATGTTGTGTAACAGTAAGAAATGTGAGTAAATATCATTGCATGCATATACAGTGGATATAAAAAGTCTACACACCCCTGTTCAACCGCCAGGTTTTAGTGATGTAAGAAAATGACAGCAAGATAAATATTTTCACAACTTTTTCCACCTTTAATGTGACCTATAACCTGTACAATGCAGTTGAAAAACAAACTGAAACCTTTAAGGGGAAAAATATAAAATGGAGAAATTAAAATAATCTGGTTGCATAAATATGCACACCCTTAAACTAATACTTAAACAATACTTGCAGCACCTTTGGCTATATTACAGCACTCAGTCTTTTTGGGTAGGAGTCTATCAGCGTGGCACATCTTGATGTGGCAATATTTGCCCACTTTTCTCGCTCCAAATGTGACAGATTGCGAGGGTATCTCCTGTGCACAGCCCTCCTCAGATCACCCCGCAAATGTTCGATGGGAGTCAGGTCTGGGCTCTGGCTGGGCAATTCCAAAGTCTCAATCTTATTCCGGTGAAGCCATTCTTTTGTTGATTTAGATGTGCGCTTTGGGTCACTGTCGTGCTAAAAGATGAAGTTCCTCTTCATCTTCAGCATTCTAGCAGGAGGCCGAAGGTTTTGTGCCAACACTGACTGGTATTTGGAACTGTTCATAATTCCCTCCACCCTGACTAAGGCACCAGTTGCAGCTGAAGAAAAACAGCCCCAAAGCATGATGCTGCCACCACCATGTTTCACTGTAGGTATGGTGTTCTTTTGGTGATGAGCAGTGTTGATTTTGCGCCAAATATACCTTTTGCAATCATGTCGAAAAAGTTCAACATTGGTTTCATCAGACCATAACACATTTTCCCACGTGTGTTTGGGAGATTTCAGATGTCTTTTTGCAAAATTAAGTCGGGCGTTGATGTTTTTCTTTGTAAGATAAGGCTTCCATCTTGCCGCCCTACCCCATAGCCCAGACATATGAAGACAGCAGGAGATTTTTTTCACATGTACTACACAGCCAGTACTTGCCAGAAATTCCTGCAGCTCCTTCAGTGTTGCTGTCGACCTCTTGGCAGCCTCCCTGACCAGTTTTCTTCTTGTCTTATCATTAATTTTGGACGGACGTCCTGTTCTTGGTAATGTCACCAATGTGCCATATTTTCTCCACTTGATAATGACGGTCTTTACTGTGTTCCATGGTATATTTAATTCCTTGGAAATTCTTCTGTAGCCCTCAGCTGACTGATATCTTTGAATAATGAGATCCCTCTGATGCTTTGGAAGCTCTCTGCAGACCATGGCTTGTGCTGGAAGATGTGGCTACAAAAATGTCAGGAAAAGCCTACTAGAACAGCTGAACTTTATTTGGAGTTGATCAGAGGCACTTTTGGTGACAGGTGTGTGCTGACTCCAATTTAACCTGAGTTTGAATGTTATTGGTTAAATCTGAACACAGCCACATTCCCAGGTATTAAAGAGTGTGCACACTTGCGCAACCACATTATCTCAGTTCTTTATTTTTATCTCGCCTCCCTGAAAGATTTCTATTTGTTTTTCAATTTCATTGTACAGGTTATAGGTCACATAAAAGGTAAAAAAAAAGTTGTAAAATTATTTACCTTGATTTATTTTTTTACATGACAAAAACCTGGCAGTTGAACAGGGGTGTGTAGACTTTTTATATCCACTGTAGGTCTTTGCTGAATCCATAGTCAGGAAGGGTCTTAAATGTTTGAAATTTGATAAGTTAAATTTGATTTTATTCTTGACTGTTTTAACATGCTGCTTAAAATTAGTGTTAGAGTCAAAGTTTACCCCAAGGTACTTTAAATGTTTGACCACATCAAGTCTCGCTTGACCCACAGTGACTGATGGTTACTGTCCCTCTGTTGGCTGTCGGGAGAAGTTCATACAGACCTTTTTTTTTTTGTTTGTTTATTTTTTGTATTCAAGCTTAGACAACACAACACAGAAAAAACAAAGAAACACAGAAAAAGTTGCAGACAGGTGAGCTGCAGATTTACCTCCTGACAGGCTGATCAAACTTCTCTCTTTCTCTTTCTCTCCATCTTTTTCTCCCTCCAGCAGGTGCAGAGCTGGAGCAGATTGACTTCATAGACAGTTGTGTGGGGGAGGAGGAGGAGGAAGAGGAGAGGAGGAATCGGGGACAAGGAGCAGGAGGGGGGGGAGGAGGAGGGGATGGTACCAGCCTGAGCTCTCAGTTTATGGCCTACATAGAGAGACGCATCACCAGGGAGGTAAGAGCTCTGCCCAACTCCAATTAAAGCTGTGACACTTACCAACACCAGAGCTATCACATCATTAAGAGATAATAATTATAACTACTGATTGGCTGAAAGGGCAATCGCTACAAATCAGCAGAACAGAACCGCAGTTGATAGTTTTATTTTGTTAAAACCTGTCACTTCCTGTTTGTATATCCAGGGCTCTCCTGGCAAAACAAACTCCACCAGGACAGATGACATAAGGAGACACAACAGGTATACACACACACACACACACACACACACACACACACACACAAAGAGCTGCATTTGGAAACCATGTCACTGATTGACCTTTGTTCAGGTGCGCTTTGTTGGCTCTTAAGTTGTGACATGTTTTTTTCTTCTGTGGTTTTGAAAGTGTCAGGTGCAGTGTAAAAGCAGTATATCTACACTCCCAACTAGAGAACATGAATCTTATGGATCAGGAATAAATTCCCATCACCTGAAACGTAGATCAGGCTGTGGATATCTTTAAACATACTTGACTCTTAAGCACACATCTTTCTGGAGGAAACAGCTGTAAAGGGCGGAGCAGAGAGCTGAGGCTGTCTCCAACTACCTGATTCAAAGGATGTAGAGAAAGGAGAAGGCACGACTCATGGAGGTCACTGTTCTCATTATTTTGGGCCCAGGGATTGGTGATTGCAGACAGGTCACACCATCAGCATTGCCTGGAATCACTAGCTCCAAAGTTCTCTGTTCTTGGACAGACCCAGACCTCGTACTGATGTGGGTCTTTGCCGACTCTGTCCATCAGCTTCTCTTAATCTGTCTGCCATTATTCCTCTGCAACTTTGTGACTGTCACATCCCCTCTGCCTCAATACTGCCCCCTGCTGTTCATACTTCCCTTCATGACAATGTCGTGAGTTTTTGAGGATGTGCATGGTTGATGCGCCAAACTGGGTTTGCATAGTTAGCAGAGTATCTCCAGCCTAACGATAAAAAATAAAACCAGCGTACTGATAATTTAGGACTGAAAGATGATTTAGTATGTGAAAACCTTTCTGATCATCACCCCAGCATTTTCCTGTTATAAGACAACAGGCCTGTCGGTCTGGTTTCAGGAGGTCTTCATGTGGATTCAGCCTGAAATAACCAAAATTACATAAATAAGAGTTTTCCAAAACCACAAAACAGCCAGAGAAGTCTGAGAACACAGCCTGAACCGGAACACCACTTGTCCAACACTGTACCTATCTATCTGTTTGTCTGTCCCGCAGGAGTGTGGTTGATGCGCCCTCCAGCTCCCAGAGTCAGGTAAGACCTGTTGATCATGTTTTCTCACACAACAGATTAAAAACTGCAAAATCCAAGCTGCTAATATCAACATACCTACCTGTCTGTCCTCAGAGAGGTGTGGGGGGAACTGGTGGGGTAGAGAGGATGAGGAGGGAGGCCCAGCTTGCTGCTCTGAGGTACGATGAGGAGAGACAGAAGAACCGACCTGTTCAGAGAGACTCTGTCAACAGCTACACCAAGGTACCACCACCTTAACCAGTTTAAACAAGTTAAAACCAGTATTACTGTCTCAGTCTTAATCTAGTTTGAAGCAGTTTTACTCCAGCCTAAATCAGTTTCACTTTGCTTTACAGGAGTGTGAATCCAGTCTCAGACCAATTATTTTAGTATCAATCAGTTTTTAAGGTTTGAGAAGTCAGTCTTCTCTGTTCACCCGGGTTGTGTCTTTCATTTAGTCGTTAATTAAACTTTACACTTCCTGATGGTGTTTCACAACAAAAGCCTGAAAATGAGCACAGCTCAGAGCAGAATGAAGGTCGATGTTTATTTAGAAGGTCGTGGTGAGTTCAATAACATCCGACTAAATTTGATGAACTGGACTGAAACAAAGATGAAGGTCTTATGTGAGTCTACCTGAATGAAAGAATGTCTGAATGAGTAAGATCTTACTCAGGTGATGATCAACTATTTGCAACCATCTGTAAAGGTGAGGCAAACACGCTGACTCTGGCTCTGTTATTGTTTTTCAGCACAAAGCCACTCAGAGTCCAACAAAGTCCAGTCCAGACAACGAGGTGAGGCTCAGCACTGACTCATCCACATCCCCCACAACAGATACAGTGCATCCGGAAAGAATTCATACCACTTCACTTTTTCCACATTTTGTTATGTTACAGCCTTATTCCAAAATGGATTAAATTCCCTTTTCCCCTCAAAAATTCTACACAAAATACCCCATAATGACAAAGCAAAAAACTTTTTTCAGAACATTTTGCAAATTTATTAAAAATAAGACACTCAAATGTTGCATATACATAAGTATTCATACCCTTTACTCAATACTTGGTCGAAGCACCTTTGGCAGCGATTACAGCCTCCAGTCTTCTTGTGTATGATGCAACAAGCTTGGCACACCTGGATTTGGGGAGTTTTTCCCATTCTTCCTTGCACATCCTCTCAAGCTCAGTGAGGTTGGATGGGCAGCGTCGGTGCACAGCTACTTTCAGGTCTTTCCAAAGATGTTCAATCGGGTTCAAGTCTGGGCTCTGGCTGGGCCACTCAAGGACATTCAGAGACTTGTCCTGAAGCCACTCTTTTGTCTTCTTGGCCGCGTGCTTAGGGTCATTGTCATGCTGGAAGATGAAGCGTCGCCCCAGTCGAAGGTCTCGAGCGCTCTGGAGCAGGTTTTCATCAAGGATTTCGATGTACTTAGCTGCATTCATTTTTCCCTCGATCCTGACAAGTCTTCCAGTTCCTAACGCTGAAAAACATCCCCACAGCATGATGCTGCCACCACCATGCTTGGTATTGGCGAGGTGGTGAGCGGTGCCTGGTTTCCTCCAGACATGACGCTTGGCATTCAGGCCAAAGAGTTCGATCTTCGTTTCATCAGACCAGAGAATTTTGTTGCTCCTGGTCTGTGAGTCCTTCAGGTGCCTTCTAGCAAAGTCCAACTGGGATGTCATGTGCTTTTTACTGAGGAGTGGCTTCTGTCTGGCCACTCTACCATAAATGCCTGACTGGTGAAGTGCTGCAGAGATGGTGGTCCTTCTGTAGGGTTCTCCCATCTCCTCAGGGGAACGCTGGAGCTCTGTCAGAGTGACCATCGGGTTCTTGGTCACCTCCCTGACCAAGGCCCTTCTCCCCCACTTGCTCATTTTGGCTGGGCGGCCAGCTCTAGGAAGAGTCCTGGTGGTTCCAAACGTCTTCCATATCTTAATGATGGAGACCACTGTGCTTTTTGGGATCTTCAATGCAGCAGATATTTTTCTGTAACCTTCCCCAGATCTGTGCGCCGATACAACCCTGTTTCGGAGGTCTACAGACAATTCTTTCGACTTGGCTTGGTTTGTGCTCTGACGTGCTCTGTCAGCTGTGGGATCTTATATAGACAGGTGTGGCTTTCCAAATCATGTCCAATCAGCTGAATTTGCCACAAGTGGACTGCAATCAAGTTGGAGGAACATTTCAAGGCTGATCAGTGGAAACAGGATGCACCTGAGCTCAATTTTGAGTTTTATAGCAAAGGGTGTGAATACTTATGTATATGCAACCGTTGAGTGTCTTATTTTTAATACATTTGCAAAATGTTCTAAAAAAAAGTGTTTTTTCTGTGTCATTATGGGGTATTTTGTGTAGAATTTTTGAGGGAAAAAGGGAATTCAATCCATTTTGGAACAAGGCTGTAACATAACAAAATGTGGAAAAAGTGAAGCAGTATGAATACTTTCTGGATGCACTGTACATCACAGACAGATCCTCAAGCCCAGGTTGCCTGTGTCATCTGAGCTCAATGTCAGAGATCACCACCATCCTCTCTGTGAATATCAGTTCAGAGACATGTTGAAAAATAACCTTACCCTGACTGAAGGCTACCTGCCCCAGACTGTCTTTAGTCGAGAATACCTGATGCCCCATTTTTGTATCCTTATATGTTTCTAACAGGATACTTACCCATTGTTCAGGTTTCCTCTTGTAGAGAAGTAGAGTGTCAGTGACAGTCCTGGATCAGGATTAAAGGAAACCATCATCAGTCTTTAAATCTGAGCCCTGTTAATTTGGCTTTTCTGGGTCTTGGTGACTGAAAAGTCATTAGTGAGTCTCTGCAGCAGGTTTCTTTCTCCTGCAGCAGGTAAACAGGCTGTAATGTCTGCAATATCACCTAAACCTACATAATTACATGGTCCTTCAGAGCGAGTCCACAGAGAGTTTCGCTGCCAGCTGCTGTTACTGGACGGAAAAATCCTCTGTTTCTTTAACACAAAGGTGTAACAGGCCAGGTGAAGTGGGCTGACTTTGACAGGGTTTATGTTGGAGTCATCACAGAGTGTAACATCCATACAGGCTGAAGAAATGTACTTTTTCTACCACATACTCCAAATTTCCACTGTATGCGGAACTGCGGCCAAAAAGGCCGCCGGCGCCGATCGTCACTGATCGTTTCCATTCAAGTTAATGTGTGAAATTCCACCAGCTTCTTTCCGGTCCCCCTGCGGTTTACTAGGCTTAGTAGCCAATTGCCAGGGTTCTATTTTTTTTTCCATATGCTGCAGCATGCCGCATAAATTCAGCACAGATTAGCCCATGCTGGAAAGGAGGTTGGGCACAAACAGAAAAGAAAACATCCGGCTTCTTTTCAAAATAAAACACTACGTATTTCAGACAAATCGTAGATAAAGATAAATATTGCACTTAACTATTTGTCATGATTTGAATTTATAATGAATGTGTTAAGATTAATCATCTTAAATTATGACATTTATGCACTTGTTGAAAGGGGCACCACCCACCCTTAATGGTGGGAAAATAAAGAAAAACAAAAGTTTAAATCAGAAATCAAACATTAAGTCAATCTTAAATTAATCAATCTCACATCTCAAGCCAAAATTCTCATTTCAGGGACTCAAATTCTGGAAGAACACTAACAGACAAGAACTTGAAAAAATAAATGACCTGTTTATTACAGGATAATGATGGTACAATATACATGCAATAAATGATGATATAGATAATTGGGATAAATAATAGTAGATGAATGAAACATTCTGAGTCAGCCTACGATTACTAAAGTTAATGATAGTGAGTGAATATGCTCTGACATATTAACCTACATTAACTTTGGTGTAAAGATAAATTCAGATGTGGTCATTTGAATCGTGGACGCATGAGACAGCATCAGCCCTGTCTGGAGCTCTGGAGGTTTTCACACTTAAGTGAGGCTGGTCCTTGGAGAGGATGGAGCAGGTTCCGAAGGTCCACCATACCAGCGGTTTGGGAGGTTCAACTCAGAAGAGGACCGAAGTCAGACGAAAGATGGGCCAGGAGTCACAGCACACAGGCCTGACTGGTAAAACCAGTGCCTTTTGCATCCTTTGGATGCTCCGTTGGTCTCACCACAAACCTCTGGCACAGAGGATGACTTTGGGCCTGCTGTGTGGCATTCAGAGGTGACTTCGAAATCACGCATATAACTAAGAAAAAGAGTCTTGATGGCCAGTCGAAACTATTTAAAAAATGACTGAAAGAAAAAACAGTTAAAGACTTAATCTTGGATTGCTATGCGCACAAAAATAGTTGAAGTTAAAAAACTTGAACTAAGACGATGTTAAAGAAAAATCAAACAACGTGAATGAACACATGGTGTAAAACTTAGAAGACTAACAGGGAAAATTAAGACTAACTAGTAAGAGTAAGAGCTAAGCAAGAGTGAACAAAGCGGAAACAAAGAAAAGGATACAAAAAGGGTGAGCACCCCAACTTTACTGGTTTTATCTCCTTCAAACTGGTCTCTATGGTTAGTGTGTGAGGAGAGAGAGAGGAGGGGTCACTGGTCCCCTGCTGCAGCTCCTCTCCAGGAGCCGCAGCAGGGGATCTTGAATGCTCTTAATTATGAATCTTTTATTCATTAATCCCTTATCATTTGAACCAGTTTATACTTTTGGCTGGTAAAGGAGTCAGATCTGATGCTCATTCACTATGATTAATGTTATTGAATGCTTGGTTCATAATAAATAATTTGATACTAAACACATGGAGAAATGTAGAATCACATCAAACATTCTCATTATGTTTTAAGTATCACATTGAACATGCTAAATTCCTGTTACTTAGAGTAAAGTTTGATTCGTAGTCAACAAAATAAACTCCTAAAAGTTCATGAAACAGTCTGAAAACCTGTTGGTCTAAAGAAACTAAAGAATAAAGGATTTATTCTGTCAGAGTGATAACTTGGCTTCTGGAACACAGAAAAAAGGACACATCTCATTTTAACACAAATTTCATGATTAGACAGATTAGTACATTGCTGAATGCGTAAGATGTCATTATCAGTCACTTGTATTCTTTCTCCAAAGGAATGCAGTTTTTATCAGAACATGGTCGGCAGGGTTTTACGACCGAGGTCTGGAGGTCAGCGACCTGCTCTTCAGACCTTTCCTGGGATTCCATGTGTTCACACTGACAGTAAATCTCAAATGGGAGACCTGGATTGAGGCATTAATGTTTATTTAGATGGTCAGTGATGGAGTCAGTTTGAAAGGTAATGAAAACTATGTCTCTGTTCTCTGAATTGGTTTGGGTTTGGGTCAACCTCTGGGTCAGTTGGGTAATCTGAATATGCAAATAAGTCTGGAAAGGTTTATATGATCCTGTGTCCTGGAACTAGATAAGGAACCTTTCCTGAGGAATGTGTGAGTTTCACACACAGGGTTGTCTTGATGCTACACCTGGTTAATTCCAAATTTCCACAAGAGTCTGATCTGCTGGTCTAAACAGAATGGATTTCCTCCTCTGGAAGGACACAGTCTACTGCTTATATGGTTATGTGGGAGTCCTCATAGAGTCAACTTGATTGCATGTGAATTTGTGGATTCTTATGAGTCCTCATGATTCCCGCTGTTCGAAATTCGCCACAAAATTCGCCTCACGAACGCATCCGGTAGGAATTGACGGACAGTGAAAATCGCCACCGTTCTGCAGCGGTGCCATCCGTATGCAGTGGAAATTTGATACTCCGAAAAAAAAGGACTGGAGTTTGAAGAAATGATGAGTCTGTTTGTTTAACATCTCCCAGGTGCTGTGAGTTCCCATACATTTGTCTTGTTAAGCTCTGTATTCTAGCTCTACCACTTCTGACAAAAGCCACGCCCTCCGCCACCATTGTTCACTATCATTGTGTCTGTGTTCATGTCTTTTTGTGTCTATATGGGTATGTCTGTCCTTGTGTGTGTGTGTGTGTGTGTGTTCAGACTGTTTACCCCTCCAGGCGTTCTACCCACACAGATGACTCCGCCCTCTTTATGGTAAGGGTTTAGCCACACCCCCAAAAATCTTAACTCCACTAAGATTGAAAAACAAACCCTCACCTGTCCTAATCAAACATGGATGGTTTAGTTTTAAGTTGCTGAAACTTTTTTTATTCATCACCACACTCTTCTCACTTTTAATCAGCATGTGAGAGACATTTCCTCCACCTGGCCTCCTCTGCAGCATGAGCACACCTGTCCCTTATCACCAGCCTATGACTCACCCCAACCCCCATTACATTTAGGGCCCATGGAGGACAAAAAATGACTCTGTAGCACACCCTACAGATTATCATGCTCTCGGATTTTCTCGTAGGACTTGCTGCACACTGGTTCCAGCTCCATCGGATTTTACTTATTTGATTAGGGTCTAGCACCGGACAGTTCAGTACAAAACTTGTGTCCATATGTTGTAGCACCACCTGGTGGCAGAGGTGAACATGTTTTTCAGTTAATGGCCTGGAAGTCCTTCTTTATTGATGAGATGCAGCTGAGATTTATTCAGGACACACCTGATGGGGTACCAGAGCAGCAAAAAGGTGCACAGTAGTGACAGTGGGACACTGCTCGGGCTCGTTGGTACCCCATTGGGCACTTGTGATTCTTTAAGCTCTAGAGTAGACCTCACCTCTCTTTATCGTGAACTAGTTAACTTGTGGATGAACTCTGCTTTTCTTTCCCCTCCTTCCCTTCATTTCTTATTTTGGTCATTTTCCTTTCATCTTTTTATTTACTTCCTGTTAAAGCTGCTCTGTCTGTCTCAGTGTGTGCTGGTGTTTGAGAAACACATCCTGGTTCACACAGACAGGTGACACTCACCTGCTTTATCTCTCCTCTGTTCTCCCCAGTAAACCTGCTGCTGCTTTGTAGAACTGTTTTACTCGAGAACCTCTAGAGAAGCTGTTTTCTCCTCCACAGACCTCAGAGTTCATGTTAGCTGGTACATTTAGACTGAGAGGCAGATGAAGACATCAGACAAAGACTTTCATGGAAAAAGTGTCAAACACAGAGTATCAGTCTGGATATATGAATGTAAATAAGGCTTTTCCACCTGTGAAGAAGTGAGATGGTTGGATATTTGAGTTTACAGTTGACACATGCTGTAGGTTCACCACAGAGCAGAGAATATACCTAATATATGATCAACTATATATGATATATAATACATGATCTCAGAGCAACAGGGAGCTGGATGTTTTAAAGGGACTGATAGGAAACACAGCTGACCTTAAACCTTAAGGGGTAATTCTGGCGCAAGTTTAAGTCACGGTCAAACTAGGGCTGGGCGATAAAACAATAGAGATATATATCCAAAATAATTCCCTCAGTATTAATATAAAACATGGTCAATATGCTTTTTGATAGTTGGCATTCTGCCATGTTTTGGTAGACTATACGAATTACCAATGAAAAGGGAAGTTGCTCCGGTCCACTTTGCGCTGAACCAATCGTGCTGAATTAGAACCAAGTAGCAAACAACTGCGTAGCAGCAGGCTGCAGCTACACACAACCATAGCACAGGTGAAGCCAACAGCACTGTCGGTGAGAAAAAAAGAAAATGAGTGCTATCCCCAGCAGAAATGCAGATAAATTTTCAACAGATGACATCTTTGACAAAACTGGTAAGAAAACATCAGTGATTGAGGTTTTTGGTTTTTTGAGGTTAGACATGAAGCAGAGTAATGTGCACTGCAAATTAAGTCGAGTACATGTTCTTGCAAAGTCGGGGAATACCTCAATGTTCAGGCTGCATGCACTACCAATTTAGTGTTCTCAAACATTGTTGCTGATTGGAAAGGAGCAACACACGATTCAAGGATTTTTCAAAAACTCTTCACTTTGTGCTCAGTTTGAGAGAGGGCAACATAGTTGGTTACTACTAGGGGACAGTAGATATGCTCAGAGTTCCTATTTATTCATGCTTTGGCCACATCCCACAACAATTGAGCAGCAAAGACACAACAGGACTCATATTAGCACTGGCGGGATGGGTGAGCATATATTTGGAGTGTGGAAAAACTGATACTAGTGTTTATGCAATACACTTTCTTTTGAGCCAAGTAGATGCTGTAAGGTGATCATTGCTACATCTGCAGTGCAAAACTACCTGAAGCAGCATAATTTCCCTGACCGTCTAACGAAAGATCAGAATGATTCAGATGTGCCCATGCTGGTGGCAGAAAAAAAACAGAGAACTTGGGCTCAGAGCTGCTTTCACGTTGCTGACTTAGTTGGAAAAAAGATACATTTAACTATGGAATTTATTGATTTTGCCTTAGTAATGTTTGTTGTGTATAACAAAGTGTGCTGAAAAATTACATGAGAAACTTAACTAAGGCTGTTCTAAACTGTAGGTTGTAATGACATTAATAATCAAACTATTGTATAGTTTTTTGAGCGTGTTCTTGTAGCTTCAGCCATTGTTTAGTGTCTAAAGTCTTCCCAGCAAAGCTGCTGTCCGAAACTCCATCCCAGCTTTTTATGAGCACCATAGGCTAACAGGCTGTGCTCCCACTTGGGCTAATGAGGCTTGACCCCGGTGTTCTCATTTAAGCTTACTCTAGGACAGTGGTTCTCAAGTCCAGTCCTCGAGCCCCCCCCGTACTGCATGTTTTGGATGTTTCCCTGCTCCAACACACCTGATTCAAATGATCAACTTGTTATTAAGCCATTACAGAGCTTGATAACGAGCTGATCATTTGAATCAGGTGTGCTGGAGCAGGGGAAACATCCAAAACATGCAGGACAGGGGGGCTTGAGGACTGGACTTGAGAACCACTGCTGTAGGACTCCACAGTCCTGGACTAACTAAGACAAATGTAAGCCACACTCATGCAAGCCACTTAAATGACCTAGCTTTACAAGCCTGACTTAGGCCTACTCCTTGCTTGATATAAGCCTTGTCTGAGAAACCAGGCCTATATGTACTGTTGATGAAGTTAGGTGCTGTTTTGAGCATTATTTGTGGCTATAGAGTGACTTTTTATGAGGTTTGTATGAGGCACATGGAGACGTAGACCGCTGTGTATTGCTATTGTGCAGTCATTGCTGAAATGGTATAACTAGAGAAGCAAGCAGTTGGCAACATCCATCTCTTGAGGGGGTGTCTAGCTCTGTGTTGTGGTGTGTTTGACCATAACTTAATTTTATGCCCTTTAATCTGTGCTAATGTATTTAGTCTACTGCTGTGTGTGTGTGTGTGTGTGTGTGTGTGTGTGTGTGTGTGTGTGTGTGTGTGTGTGTGTGTGTGTGTGTGTGTGTGTGTGTGTGTGTGTGTGTGTGCCAGTTTAACACTCAGTTCTCGGATTTTGAATAAATGTAAAAAAGATAATCTAATAGTACTGTGGTGTTAATAAAACCACTCATCTGTGTGAGACATCAGACGATGATGTGCAATCAGACCCTCACTCTTACCTCCTGAGTCTCAATCCCCCCCCACCCCCCACACACACATACACTCTCTTTCCCATTCTCATTCTCTCTTTGAGTTGTAGCCTCCCTCCCTCTCTATCTCTGTCTCTCTCTTTCTCTCTTTTTCTCTCCGTGGATCACTCTCTTTTGCTGTGTAATAGTTTTTGATTGTTTTGGAGAATAATTTTTTATCTTTCCATATTTATTTATGGATTCCTTTTTCTCCTTTTTCTCTGTCAGTCTGTGGCTGGAGTGTCTGACAGCTGTCACTGTCTCACCTCCGATAGCTCTGCTTCCTGTCTGCTGCAGGTACTTTCACCTTATGTTGCTGCTTCCTGTCTGCCAGTCTGAATGTCACTGTCATTCCTCTGATGACAAACCCAAAAACTGTAAAAACTTGAAATTTGCTTACTCAGTGAGACATACTTTGACTAAAACCAGACTGTGTAGAAGAAGTGGGCATGGCCTCTGTGATATTACTTATTGTTTGTGGAGTTGTCTTCAGCCTCTTGTTCATTTCTGTTTGTTTTTTTTGTCACTACCTTAAATTGGAAAATGTGGTATTATGACACTAATTCTGTAGGGAATAAATCAGCTGAGAGGGACCATTATCTCTTAGTCTTCTTCACACTCAGACTGGTTTCACAGCCACAGGAGTCGCCCCCTGCTGGACATTAGACAGAAGAAAAGATAAGATAAGATATGAAAGATAAGAAGAACTTTACTGATCCCCGAAGAGAATACAGGCGAATACAATGAATACAGGTTTAGGACAAGTCTGCATCAACAGATCACAAACTGTATCAACTTTTTATACACAGTGTTTAGATAAGACTCAAAGAAAGAACATGTTGGTTTGAGATCATCTCCAGGTGTTCTCAGGTGTGTAACTTTCCTTTGTTGTCTCTATACAGGGGGAGGACAGAGCTGCTTTGTCTACCACAGGTAGGCTGGACCATACTGAACCCTGTAACTCCTCCGTTTGACTCTCAGATTCTCAATGATGGCTTTTTGTCTTTTAGCCAATCAGTCGCCTTCTTACCCCAGCTCAGGGGGCGCGACCTCCTGTCGGACAGCTGGTCTGAGACCAGAGAGCTTCCTGTTTCGTTTCGGTCAGAAAGAGGAGAAGAGGAAAGGTAAGGAGGGGAGATGAGTATGAGGGACCAAAAATGACATAATTAGAAATCAATAAATACCGAAATAAATAAATAAATAAATGATGAAAGAAAATACCAGAATAAATAAATGCAGAAATAAGTACATAAATAATGCTCATTTTATGTTTTTATTTCCATATTCATTTATAAATGTATATCTTTTTTCTCAATCATGCATGCCTTTTTAAATGTATATATTTATTTATATTTCTGTATTATTGCATTTCCACATTCATTTATGTATTTATTTATATATTTACATATATGCATTTCCACATTTGCTTATATACATATTTCTGTGTCCATTCAGTCTGTGGAAAAGTATTTATGTAAATTAGTGGGCGATCTTAACTCCACTCTGGAGCAGGATTGGTGTACTCACAGACATGCAGTATCTCACAAAAGTGAGTACATCCTTCACATTTCTGCAAATATTTAATTATATCTTTTCGTGGGACAACGTTAAAGAGATGACACATGACACAATGTACAGTAGCCAGTGTACAGCTTGTGTAACAGTGTAAATTTATTGTTCCCTCAAAATAACTCAACACACAGCCATTAATATGTACTCTCCTGGCAACTAAAGTGAGTACACCACTAAGTGAAAATGTCCAAATAAGGCCCAAATTGTCAATATTTTATGTGGCCACCATTATTTTCCAGCACTCTCTTGGGCACGGAGTTCACCAGAGCTTCACAGGTTGCCACTGAAATCCTCTTTCACTCCTCCATGATGACATCACAGAGCTGAGTGGATGTTAGGAGAAGAAGAACTTTATTGATTCCCAAAGGGAAATTCAATCGTCTTTAGTCTCATGTCTCAAAAGATCGTCTACTATTTACAGAGGAATTATAAAGCCTGATGGCTGTTGGTACAAAAGATCTTCTGAATCTTTCTGTCCTGCAGCAAAGAGCCGTCCACCACCATTGGCCAGTTTTTTCAGACGTCTTGCATCTTTGTGTTTGATGCTTCCTCCCCAGCAGACTGCAGCGTAGAACAGAACACTTGCCACCACAGACTGATAAAACATCTGCAGCATCTTCCTACAGATGTCTATTGATTGGAGCCTTTTCAGGGCAAAAGAGGCGGCTCTGCCCCTTTCTGTAGATGAAGTCTAGATTCTTAGACCAGTCCAACTTATTATCCAGATGTACACCTAGGTATTTATATGATGTAATCACTTCAATGTCCACTCCACAGGTGTTCACTGGCTGAAGAGGGGGTTTGGATCTGTGGAAGTCTATGACCACTTCCTTTGTCTTTGAGGTGTTGAGGAGGAGGCAGTTTTTGTAACTCCAGTCACTGAAGACTCTTATCAGATCTCTGTATTCAGCTTCTTGTTCATTTCTGATATGTGCCACAATAGTGGTGTCATCTGAGTTTTCCTGGATGTGAGGGACTCAGTGCTGTATTTGAAGTCTGATACAGTGTGAACAGGAATGGCGCCAGCACTGTCCCTTGTGGAGCCCTTGTACTACTCATTAAAGTCTCAGAAACACAGTTCCCCAGCCTGACAAACTGTGGCCTTCCTGTCATGTAATCTGTGATCCAGGAAACACAGGCAGGATCCACTCCCATCTCTGTGAGCTTGTCTTTAAGTATGGTGGGTTGGATTGTGTTAAATGCACTTGAAAAGTCGAAGAACATGATCCTCACATAAACCCCAGGTTCCTCCAGATGAGACAGGGCACAGTGGAGCATGTAGTGGACAGCATCATCCACTCCAATGTGTTCTTTGTATTCAAACTGCATGGAATCCAGTTTGTCTTTGACCTCAGACCTCAGAAGGTGTAGAATTAGCTGCTCCAGGGTTTTCATGATGTGTGATGTGAGGGCCACTGGTCTGTAGTCACTGAGTTCAGCTGGACATTTTGTTTTTGGTACTGGTACAATACAGGATGTTTTCCACAAAGCAGGTACCCGCCCCAGCTGTAGACCCAGGTTGAAGATCCTGTAGAGGGGTTGACACAGTTCTGTAGCACTGTCTTTAAAAATTTCTTGATCCGATCAAAAATTCAAAAAAGGGATTGGAAAATCTGAATCCACTGTTTATGTGGGTGCATCATATAATCCGATCATGACGTGGGTATACATGCACCAAGTTTTTTTCAGATAAAAAGCATTTGGACATGCAGAGTTGTCTGATTTCGCTAAAACAACCGCAGAAGAAGAGTTGTATTTATCATCATCATCATGCATCAGATTTCATATAGCGCTTTATCAGAGACCCTCAAAGCGCTTTACATTGGATACATCATTCATTCGCTCACACAGTCACACTTTGGTGGTGGTGGAAACGTGGCTGCCATTCTGCGCCTACGGCCTCTCCGACCACCACCACACAACACTCGCAATCATACACCAGTGGAGGACACACACTGGGAGCAAGGTGGGTTAAGTGTCTTGCCCAAGGACACAACGGACAGACTTGGATTAGGGGGGAATCGAACCGCCAACCTTCCGGTTACGCCTGTGCTGTCAACAAACCAACTAACACAGTAGTGGCTCAATTCATCCAGTTCAGGAGTTTCCCCCTGTTAAATGTTGTCACTAGATGGCGCCCTTGCATTCGTATTTTACTGTTCTGTCAAAGGTTGCACTGTGCGCGCAGATATGACATCATTACGCTGTTTGTAGGCCTTGTTATGTTACCAGAGAAGCAGGCACGTTTTCGTGGTTGTGTTTTATGCCAGAGTGTTAATAACTAAACCTGCTGTACTGGTCTCAATAAATAGGCCAAAGGCTAAAGAGTGAAGATCAAGTCAGATTAGAGTCACGATCGGAATAAGTGTTTACATGGACAGGTTTCGGAATTACAATCAGCTTTAACCACCCCTTTTGATCAAAATACAATTTCTTTCCGATTGAGACGAATTGGATCAGAATCTTCTGATCAACATGTTTACATGCCGCATTTTTATTACAATCGGGCACTTATTCCTGTTATTTGTGCCATTGTAAAACCCAGCTTTTGACAGACAACAGCTGATGTTTTAGGAGGGAGGTAATTGAAGTGGTTGAGACATTTGAACAAGTTGCAGGAGGAAGGGGAGATTTGTTGAGGAAAGAAAGGTGGAGTAGCAGTGGAAGTGTGTCAGCAGTGTCAAATCTGTGAAAGAACAGGTTGAGTTCATCAGCTCTTTCCACATCACCCACCACTGGCTGTCTTTTCTTTTTATTGCTGTGTCCAGAGATGGTACTGATTCCTGTCCACACTTCATGGATGTTGCTGTGTTGTAGATTCCTCTCTATCTTCTTTTTGTATTCCAGCTTTGCCATGTCTAGTCTCCTTTTTAACTCTTTTTGCACTTATTTGAGTCGTTCTTTGTCACCATCTTTAAAGGCTTTCTTTTTCTGGTTAAGGATTTCTTTTATGTCACTTGTGATCCAGGGTTTGTTGTTGGGGAAACAGCGACGTCTTTGTCAGTATAACTGTGTCTCTACAGAAGTTGAGTTCAGTAAAGCTGTCAACCCGTCTGTCAATGTTCATACTCTCCACATCTGTTTCCAGCAGCACAGGCCAGTCTGTTGATTTAAAACAGTCCTTTAGAGCTTCACTAGCTTGAAGTCCATCCTCTGATTTTGACTTAAGTCAACCACCACTCGGTAATGGACGAGTGCAATGAATCATTTCCCTGAAGACTTCGACTTCGACTAAACTTTATTCATCCCTTGGGATGACTCCCGCAGGAAACTGGGTTACCAGCAGCTTTTACAAGTAGAGGCACAGCACACAGAGGTAAAAAAGTGCAGAGTGAACACAGAGGTAAAAAAGGTGCGAAGTGCAACATGCAAACCGTAGTCACAACATAAAATACAAGTTACAAAAGGAACATAGTCTGCATAGAGATGGAAAAAAGAAATACACTCCTAATAAAATATAGAGTTGGCATATGATGGTGTGTGTGTGTGTGTGTGTGTGTGTGTGTGTGTGTGTGTGTGTGTGTGTGTGTGTGTGTGTGTGTGTGTGTGTGTGTGTGTACGCGTGTGCGAGCGTGCGTGCGTGTGTGATGGGTGGATGGTTGCAGCATGTGAGCTGAGTGGGTGGTGTCTGCTGCCTCTTCCCTACTGTCCTCAGTCGGGAGATTATTTTTTTTTATTATCATGTGATTGACTTAATACGCAAACTGAGCACTTCAGAAATCGGCCCTTTAAAATGACACTTGGACGGTCAGGAAATCCTCCTGGCTGCTTCGCTGATGAGAACCAATCATAGGCCAAACTGCGTTCCATTATTCCAATCATGCGCACACTCTTCACAGGTACTTGGAGTGCTTGGAGAGCCTGTGGTAGCATTGCAAAACTGCGAGAAAGAGAAGCAGGACTTATCCACGCCAGTGTTGTGCCGTAGAATGCACCCCTGCCGTAGAGTGCCCCCCTGACGAGAGTGCGGTTGAAAGTAGATAAGGTGAAATAATTCAAGTTTTCCCTACCGTAAGATAAGCAGAAAACAATAGCCCTCTTATTCAGAATATTTGCCGTCCCGAAAGTATATTGTTCTCTACCTTGACATCTTACTGTACAGTTTATATATCCAAGTACACCTCGATATTTTCATTTTTGAGACACATTAAAACAGAACGAAAGTTTGCTAGTAGTCATGATCCAAATAGTCGTCTCTTTGTAAAATACACCGGGGACAAGGCAGACCAGAGTGTAGCGTACACATTTACCTGCATTTACCAGCAGATTGAATTTGGTGAGTAATGGTTTCAATCGTTTTCATATTTTGTGGTATAACAAAGTTACTGCCGTTCGCTACAGCTTGCGTTGAACACTGCCAGAGCTAGCCAAACCTCCGGTGAAAAAATAGCTCCCGTTTGCTTGATATTAAGTTAGCATCAAGCTTGTGTAGTTAATGGTAACATAAAAGAAGAAACACAAGCTTCTTTCTAATATCTCTGTAATTGGTATTTCAGGGACGTGTGAGGATAATATTCAGGTGAGGGGCTGAAAAGGCTGAAGGTGAAGTGGTAAACTCTAGAACTTGTTGTCCTATGCTTTGGCCCATGCTTGATGCCTTTTGTGACAAAATAAAAACATGTGAACCCTGGTCTTTTTAACACTCCTTTTTGCCGCTTATGTTATTCATTGATTCATTAAAACGTAATGGTTTTGAGCCATCTAAAACAGCGAAAGCGGGCGTCGCGCGTTTACTGCTCTGGCTCCATCCATTGACAAGACGGGGTGTCATTTTTTTTCAGCGCAACATTAGCGTGAGAGAAGACAACACGGAAGAGTGTCACGAAAGGCTTGCTGTGTGTTTAGACCACAAGCTACTAAAGCTGTTGTGTAAATCGCTATGTTGATATTATTTTTATATGGTTGTCAAGAAACTGGGGGTGCTCAGCAGGCAAAGAAGCAGGCTGCTGAAAGTGAGAAGCAGGCAAGGCTGAGGCATGTGGCCACTCAGCGTTAAAAGGCCATGGAGACTCTGGCGGCCCAGGCAAAAAGAAAAAAGAAAAGTGATCAATTGGACTTGGTATTGGATCTATTGGTATTGTTCTCCAGTCAGGCAGGGCATACATTGATCTAAAGTGCAGGATGTAAAGTCTTTATTTTTTTTATTGTTTTTTTTTCCTCTTTAAATTATTATTGTTCATATGGCCTTGTACAAACAGTTTTGAACACCTCTCTGACTCATCTAACTCATTTAGCTTCTGTGAAAGTAAACTTTGTTTCTAAATAGAACATGGCCATCACAAGATGCATGTGTGTGTGTGTGTGTGTGTGTGTGTGTGTGTGTGTGTGTGTGTGTGTGTGTGTGTGTGTGTGTGTGTGTGTGTGTGTGTGTGTGAGTGAGACTTGGAGTGTTTTTGGCGCCTCCTGCAGATCACTGAAACACAGTGTGGGTGGACAGAACTCGTATTTCCTCCGCACCCTTCTCACCTTTTCAACCCCTGACCCATTTTCATGCCTGCGCTTCCCTTATCCAGGTGGGAGTGGGTCCGGTGTAGCATGTAGAGGATGGCATCCTCCACCCCAACATCTGGCTGGTAGGTGAACTGCAGGTGGTCTGAAGAAGGTGAAGAAGAGCCGCTCCAGCGTCTTCATAAGGTGGGACGTAAGTGCCACCGGTCGGAAGTCATTCAGCTCGCTGGGCCAGTTCTTCTTAGGCACCGGAACTATCCAGGATGTCTTCCAGAGGGTGGGCACTCTCCCTAGTTGCAGGCTAAGGTTGAAGACGCATTGCAGTGGTTCCCCCAGTTCTGTGGCACAGGTCCTCAGCAGTCTTGGACACACCTTGTCCGGACCTGCTGCTTTCCCGTGTTTTAGCTTCCTCAGCTGACCTCTGACCTCTTTCACCTCCCACTGTGCCTCTTTCATGGCCTACCTATCTCCGCTCCTGAGGGCAGCCTTCTTTTAGCTTAGGACAGTTTTGACTTCCCTTGTTACCCACGGTTTGTTATTAGGGTAGCAATGGACAGTCTCAAGGTCCTTACACACCGGCGAATTTACAGAGCGAAGCGAAAAGGCAAGAATGCGAAAATATTTGCCGGTCCGAAAAATCGCTTTCGCCTATACACACCGGGCGCGAAGCGAATATGCGTATAAATTTTGCAAAGCGAAGTTCTATCCCCCAAAATTATGCCAGTATTTTAGAATGTCCCTCGGGCAATTTAATGACCTCCTCCAGCAGCTGACCCCACGGCTGGAGAAGCAGACAACTAACTACAGAGAGCCAATTGGTCCAGAGGAGCGGCTAGCCACATGTCTGAGGTAAGATTAAATTAATAGGCAATATTCTATATGAATGAGACAAAGTCCCGTTTTCTTGAAAGCTCCGGGCCCCCAGCCCCGTTATAATGTATATAAGCACATAATAGCTCATCTATAGCTCACTCGTCTCCAAAAGCAGCTGGATGGGTTTGACATAGCGTGCTTGATAAATGAATGTCATCAACAACATGACTTTTGATTGGCTAGAGGTCTAGCAGGTCCAGATATTCGCCTGCGAATCTCCGAAAAATTCGACACAATAGCGAAAAAATAAAAGACGCTTTTCGCCCGGGGAAAAATCGCCGCCGGTGTGGAAGCTTGCATTGACTTTATGCTGTTTTAAAAAAAGGCAAATAAAGGCGAATGATTCGCCTGACAAATTCGCTCCTGGTGTGTAAGGACCTTTAACAGGGGAGACCGCATCTGCGCAGAAGTTCAGGTAGTCCGTCAGACAGTGTGCCGGCCCCTCTATCTCCTCGCCATGTGGGTTGGTCAGCATGTCCCAGTCTCTGGTTGAAGCAGTCTCTCAGTGCACTGTCCATTTTAGGGGACCACCTCCTGCTGGAACGAGTGGTTACTGGCTGCTTCTTGATCAGGGGGTGTAGAGTGGCTGTAGGTAAACCAGCTTGTGATCTGACTTTCCTAGTGGGGGGAGGGGAGTGGCTCTGTATGCATCCTTCACATTAGCATACAGCAGGTCTATTGTCCTATTGTTCCTTGTGGGACAGTCTAGAACTTGGTGGAAAACAGCCAAAGTAGAGTCCAAAGTTGCATGAATCAAGTCCCCAGAGATTATTATGAAAGCCTCAGGGTGCTGTGTCTGCAGCCTCGCTGTGACAGAGTGAATCTTCTCACAGGCAGCAGCTGCGTCTGCTTTTGGTGGGATGTAAACACAGATGGCGATCACGTGACTGAACTCCCTCAGCAGATAATATGGCCGCAGGCTAACAGCTAGTAGCTCAAGGTCCTGGCAACACCACACAGTCTTTACAGAGATGTGTCCGGGTTACACCATCAGTTGTTTACATACATGATGAGCCCCCCACCTTTTCTTTTACCGCTTGCTTTTGTGTCTCTGTCGGCTCTCACGGCGATGAATCCCAGCAGGTCCACGTTAGCGTCCAGTACGAGATGGTTTAGCCATGTCTCTGTGAAGATGAACAGACTGCTCTCCTTAAAGATCCGTTGGTTGTTCAGTGCGGACAGCTCGTTGATCTTGTTCGGCAGTGAGTTTACATTCCCCATGATTACGGAGGGAATCGATGGTTTGTAGCGCCTTCGGTTCTCCTTTAGCTTAGCCCCAGCCCTGCAGCCCCTGGGTCTTCTCCTCAGCTCTGCCGGGATAGCGTGTCGTATCGTGGAGCGTTCCATTGTTCGTAGAGCCAGTAGTTCCCCTCTCGTATATGTTAGAGGAACGTGTTTGCACTTAAAGGTTAAAAATATCCATGGGATATATAAAGATATATATATATAAGTAATGATCATAAATGTTCTTCCTTGAGCTGCCAAACTTAACTGCACTCTGTGATGGAGATTGGGTACCAAGCCCCAGAGTTGAACTAAGAGCTAACTGACCTGAGAGATAAGATCATGGCTAAGATGTGCTCCTGTTTCCCACTACGAACATCACTGCGACCAGTGAGCTGACCTACAGTACAGTGGCAGTGATCCTTGAGATGCTTTGACAGAAAAGCGAATACCAAGGAGTCTACCAAGGAGAACAAAGGGCAGTGCCCATACCAAGGAGAACAAAGGGCAGTGCCCACCATGGAGGAGAAGGTTGGAGGCTAAGATCAAGGTGACACGGAGAGAACTCCAGAATGGTGCAACCACAAAATAGGTACCCAAGAGGTACAGACAGATGCTGCTAAACAAAGACTCCAAGCCTTGGCCACCCGACTGAAGAGGTACACAAGAGAGACAGAGGCCAAGCGAATAAAGTGGCTGTTCTCCACTGAAACAGCCAAAGTGTACCAGCCAAAGGGTAATAACACTCAAGCAAACCCACCAAGGCTGGAGACTGAACAATTCTGGAAAGGCATATGGGAGAAAGGGGCATCACATAACGATGCACAGTGGCTAAGCGATATCAACATCAGAAAGAAGAAATGCGAGAAACTAGAGAAGTTAGAAGAGAAGAGGAGCTAGAGAAAGCCTGGAAGGTGAAGGCAACAGTGGTGCCTGTGGTCATCGGGGCACTCAGGGCAGTAACCCCCACACTGGAGAAGTGGCTCCAGCAGATCCCTGGGGAAACATCAGACATCTCACTTCAGAAGAGTGCAGTGGACTAAGAGTCCCAGGAACAGCAAGGATACAGCTGTATCTATATCTATATATTTATATCTATAGATATAGATACTACGCAGGACCCTCAAGCTCCCAGGCCTCTGGTAGGGGACCCGAGCTTGAAGAGACACAATAGAGAGAATATATATATATATATATATATATATATATATATATATATACACACACACATAAGTATTCACACCCTTTACTCAATACTTTGTCAAAGCACCTTTGGCAGCGATTACAGTCTCCAGTCTTCTTGTGTATGATGCAACAAGCTTGGGACACCTGGATTTGGGGAGTTTTTCCCCATTCTTCCTTGCACATCCTCTCAAGCTCAGTGAGGTTGGATGGGCAGCGTCAGTGCACAGCTACTTTCAGGCCTTTCAGAAGATGTTCAATCGGGTTCAAGTCTGGGCTCTGGCTGGGCCACTCAAGGACATTCAGAGACTTGTCCTGAAGCCACTCCTTTGTCTTCTTGGCCATGTGTGTCATGCTGGAAGATGAAGCGTCACCCCAGTCGAAGGTCTCAAGCGCTCTGGAGCAGGTTTTCATCAAGGATTTCAATATACTTAGCTGCATTCATTTTTCCATCGATCCTGACAAGTCTCCCAGTTCCTGCCGCTGAAAAACATCCCCACAGCATGATGCTGCCACCACCACCATGTTTCACAGTAGGGATGGTACTGGCGAGGTGGTGAGCGGTGCCTGGTTTCCTCCAGACATGAGGCTTGGCATTCAGGCCAAAGAGTTCGATCTTCGTTTCATCAGACCAGAGAATTTTGTTTCTCCTAGTCTGTGAGTCCTTCAGGTGCCTTCTAGCAAAGTCCAAGTGGGCTGTCATGTGCTTTTTACTGAGGAGTGGCTTCTGTCTGGCCACTCTACCATAAATGCCTGACTGGTGGAGTGCTGCAGAGATGGTGGTCCTTCTGTAGGGTTCTCCCATCTCCTCAAAGGAACGCTGGAGCTCTGTCAGAGTGACCATCGGGTTCTTGGTCACCTCCCTGACCAAGGCCCTTCTCCCCCGCTTGCTCATTTTGGCTGGGCGGCCAGCTCTAGGAAGAGTCCTGGTGGTTCTAAACCACATATGTATATATATATATATATATATATATATATATATATATATATATATATATATATATATATATATATATATATATATATAGATAGATAGATACATAGATACATAGATACATAGATACATTTTTTTTGTATAGCGCTTTTACAGGAGCTCAAAGACACTTTACAAAAACATAACAAAAATACAGTAAGGCAAAGATTAATAGTAACAAGCTAAAAACAAGGTATAATCGAATAAAAGAATACAGGTGGGAGGGGCAGGTGTGAGAGGTGGGATAGTGGTGAGTCAGGTAATAACAGCGAGTGTGAAAAGGTGGGCGTTGAGGGCGGATTTGAAGCTAATGAGGTCAGGGCATTCACGGATGTGTTTGGGGAGGGCATTCCAGAGGATGGGGGCGGAGACACTGAAGGTCCGGTCCCCCAGGGTATGGTGCTTGATTTTGGCTGGGGGTGAGAGGAGGTTTGCATCAGCCAAACGGTTCGGGCTGTGGCAGACAATGAGGTCAGACAGGTAGGGGGGGGCCATGTCGTGGAGGGACTTAAAGGTGAGGAGGAGGATCTTAAATTGAATTTGGTGGGCAACAGGAAGCCAGTGGAGTTGACAGAGGACAAGGGTGATGTGGTCGTATGGGTGGGTGCGGGTGAGAAGTCTGGCAGCGGAGTTCTCAATGTGATGAGGTTTGTTTAGGGTGGTGGAGGGGAGACCATAGAAGAGGCTATTGCAGTAGTCCAGTCTGGTGGTGATGAAAGCGTGTATTAAGGTTTCGGCAGCAGATGGGGAGAGAAAGGGGCGGAGTCTTGCAATGTTTTACAGGTGAAGGAAAGCGGAGCAGGCAAGTTGGGAGATATGGTGGTCAAAAGTGAGGTTGGGGTCAAGATGGATACTAAGGTTGCGGACGAGTGAAGAGGGGGTGATATGGGATTGGTCAACGTGGATGGAGTTGTCTGGGGTGGTTTTGGTGAGGGTTTTGGGACCGATGATTATGAGATCTGATTTGTTACTGTTGAGTTTGAAAAAATTGTGGTGCATCCAAGTTTTTTTATTGCGTTGAGGCAGGAGGTGACGGTGGCAAGGGTGGTGGAGGAGATGGAGCGGGAGGAGATGTATAGCTGGATGTCGTCAGCGTAGCAGGGGAAGTTGAGTCCATGTTGCCAGATGATGTTGCCAAGGGGGAGTAGGTAGAGGGTGAAGAGAAGGGGACCACGCACCGATCCCTGGGGGACACCTTGGGGGAGTGGGGTGGTGGAGGAGGAGCACTGGTTGATGAATTGTTGACGGTTGAAGAGGTAAGATGAAATCCATGAGAGTGCGGTGCCGGTGATGTGGAGGTCGGATGATAAACGGTTGAGGAGGACGGAGTGGTTGATGGTGTCGAAAGCGGCAGACAGGTCCAGGAGGAGGAGGATGGTCAGTTGGTTAGAGTCAGAGGCGAGCAGGACGTCATTTGTGATTTTTAGCAGTGCTGTTTCTGTGCTGTGCTTGTTGTGGAATCCTGATTGGAGCGGTTCGAGCAGGTTGTTGGATTGGAGGTGGGCTGTAAGTTGTGCGGTAGGTTGACTGTGGAGAATAGGGATCTGGGATTTCTGGAGCCGGTGTGGATGATTTTGGAGTAGTGGGAGGTCCGGGCAATGTTTAAGGCGTTGTTGTATTTGTGGATGTAGTCGGTGAGGGCGTGGAGGTGGACAGTGAGACAAGTTGGCGTTTTTTTCTTTTCATCTCCCTGAGCTGGGGGGTGTACCAGGGGGGCAGGGTGATGGAAGGAGACAGTTCTTTGGTGGATGGGTGCAATATTGTCAAGTCAGGACGAGAGGGTGGAGTTGTAAAGCTTGATGAGGTCGCCGGTATTGGCAGGGGGAGGGGGAGGGGAGGTGGGGATGGAGTTTACCAACTGAAGTGCAAACTGTGCTGGGAAGAGGTGGGTGAGTTTGCGAAATGTAATAGTCCTTGAGGTAGTCGGGCTTGGTTGAGGGATGTGAATGTCCAGGGTGATTGCGAGGTGGTCTGAGATGTGGAGGTTGTAGCTGGAGATGTTGGAGATGGTTATGTTGGTGGAGCAGACAGGATCAAGGATATGGCCAAGCTTGTGGGTGCGGAAGTAATATGTTGGGTGAAATTGCAGTGGTTGAGGATGTCCAGAAAGTCTTGAGCAAGTCGAGAGGTGGGGTCTTCAAGATGGAGGTTGAGGTCGCCGAGGAGGAGGATGGATGGTGAGATGGTGCTAAGTTAAAGAAGAAAGTCTGAAAAGACCTGAAGGAAAGAGGGGTTGTGTTTGGGTGGGCGGTAGAGGACAGTGATGATGAGTGGTGATGGTCCAGGGAGTTTGAGGGCGATGTGTGGCATCGCAGTAATCTTCAGGCATCGCAGTAATCTATATATATGTATATATATATATATGTATTTATAATTCTGTTTATCGTGTTGCAAATTATATTAATGAAACTATTATCTTTTTTTGTACAAATCTGATCTTGCTTCAAAACTTTTGGCCAGAAGTGTATACATATATGTGTGTCTGCGTGTATAAATTAATGCAGAAATCTATTAATTAATTAATTAATTTAAAAACTGCACGTAAAATTCAGGAGATAGGTAAATTAATGAATGAAAAAATATGGTAATATAAACTTAACATACAAGCATTTAATGATTCATTATTTATGTATTTATTTCTGCAATTATTTATTTATTCAAGTATTTATTTCTTCATTTATTTATTTTAATTATGTCATATTTGGTCCCCCACAGAGTAGCACTTCTTGAACACACAGTGATCACTTTGTGTACCTGTCTTCCCCAGGTGAAGCCGCTATTCCTCAGAGTCAGGACGAGGCTTCTCCTGCTCCTCTTCTAGTAGGAGAAGATGCAGAGCTGGTGGAGCAGCTTCGAAAGGTTCGTACCTCGATCTGCTGCCCTGTTAACACATGCAGGGGATGCTCATACTCCACCTCCCTTTGTTTTCACCTTTCACCTGTGGTGTGCAGCCTGAGGTGGATCATAGAGGAAATACAGACACTGAATAAGGAGAGAAATATACGAGAGAACATACAGTTAAAAGGTGTAAAAAGTTCACAATGTTCCGTGTTTGTACACAATGTTTGGACATTGTTTGTGGTGTCCCCCAGGGGTCAGTGTTGGGCCCTAAACTCTTTATTATGTATATCAATGATATTTGTAGAGTATCACAGGTATTGAGGTTGGTGTTGTTTGCTGATGACACAAATATTTTCTGTTGTGGGGAGGATTTTAAAAAGCTACTGGAGGAAATGACTAAAGAAATGAGTAAATTGAAAATATGGTTTGACCGAAAATAAATTGTCAGTAAACTCAAATGAAACAAAAATGATGTTGTTTGGAAATTACAAAACAGGTTCTACAAAATTACTAAACAGTTCATAAATCACTTCATTTCCTATACTGTTCCATTGTTTTACCCTACTTCCATTGCTGTGACGAGATTTAGGGCAATAACTATATGAGTTCAATCAGTTCACTGATTATTCTTCAAAAAAGGGCAATACAGGTCATACATGATGTTGGTTATCTGGATCACACTCACTCACACTTCTCACAGTAAAAATTATTTAAACTTACAGACATTGTGAAATTCCAAACAGCACATATTATGTATAAAGCTTAAAATAATCTTCTACCACAAAATATACATACATTTTGGGGGGTTCGAGAGGGGGCTTATGAATTAAGAGCAAAATGTGTAACTTTAAGATTAATAAAATCCGCATAAACAGAAAATGATTTAGCATTTCATTCTGTGAGGTGAGACTGTGGAATAGTATGGGTGAGGAGTTAAAACAATGTCCAAACATAAAACAGTTTGAAACAAAATACTAAGAATATGTTTTCACGGGATACAGGGGTGAAATGGGAGTGCGACAGTCACTACAGGTGTCCATAGGATGCTCTTACTCGTCATTCATTTTTCTATTTATTTATTTATCTACACCATTGCTGGTCCTTTCTGACTAAGGGTGTGGAAAATAATCTAAATTAATCGATGCATCGATGTGCATGTGCGCGATGCGACTGCGTCGGCTCATTCACTGGGTATCGATGCAATTGATGGGTTAAATCTAGATTCATCTAGATGCGTTGGTGGGTATCGGTAAAATCCGATGCAAGCGCCGTTTTATTCATGTTAAACTTCACCCCATCTGCTGTTCCCCAGGCGCATTGAATGCACCATCATTATTTCGCGTTTTGTATTGAATACGGACGGAAGCCGTGAGGGACATACAATGCACTACTAGTAAAACAGCATGGACCACATTCAAGTGAGCAGCAGCGAGGAAGAGTTTATATGTAATGCACCCACTACGTTTAAATCACATGTTTGGAAACACTACGGATTTGCAAAGAAAGACGGAAAGCTCGACAAAACGTCCGTCATTTGCAAAGAATGCCGCGTTAAGAAGCCGTACAACGGCAGCACGACAAACATGCAGACCCACTTAAAAAGAGTACACCACATCACCGACAAGTCTAACGCCACCTCCCCTCCCTTAACATTGATTGCACTGTTGAAAGTGTCACTTTAGGTTACTCATTGAGAGTGTTTTGTTGTTGCTGTTAACTGTACTTTTTACAACAGTAATTATTGTGTAATTGTTTTACTCTTTTATTATTGCAGAACTCACTCAAATCACTGATTTTCAGTGGCCAGTTAGAAAGTCAACTCTAGCACATTGGTTTGGCAGACAGTAGTATGGCCATTGAATGGTTTATTTGCACCATGTTAGGCAGTGCATTAGTTGTTTAATAATGTGTACTGTAATATTACCCAACAAGTATAGAGCACTTGTGTGATGTAGGGTTGGGATTGGAATCCTTTTTTTTTTAATTTTTTTTTATTTTATTGATTCAGATTCCTTAACAGTTGCAGGAGGTCTGTTTAATCTGTGTAACTGTACAAAATGGAACCCAAAGGAGCATAGAAAAAAGACAAAAAGCACTTTTGTTGAATTTACTGCCAAGTGCCTTTAAGGTATAAAGCCAAATCATTTTTGTAGTACCATACTGAATTCCATCTTTTATTTTTATTTCTTTTTTTTCTTTGCTTATTTGCATCATGTTGAATTGCATCATATCGCAACAAATTGCATCATATCGTATCGTATCGCATTGATTTGAACTAAATGATTATCGTATCGTATCGCATCATGAAGAGGGTGAATCGTATCGCATCGTATCACCAGAAAATTCCACGTATCGTTAAAGTATCGTATCGCATCATGAAGAGGGTGAATCGTATCGCATCGTATCGCCAGAAAATTCCATGTATCGTTAAAGTATCATATCGCTGGCAGTGCATCGAGATGCGTATCGAATCGTCCTCGGTGTTGAGATTCACACCCCTATTTCTGACAGATGTTGTTTTGTTATTGTTAGTCCTTTCCTTCGTCTTCTCTTCTCATTGTCCTTTCACATCGAAGCAGGTGTATGCATACAGAGGGTGAACATTGTACAATCGTAATTATTATTATCATTGTTTTTTTGTTTTCATTAAGGTAATTATTTTTATTGCTATTATTCATATGATGATTAATATTATTATCAGTGGTAGCAATATTGGGGAAAAAGGATAGATATATGAAAATCATAAGTGTAGGAGAAGGGGTGGGACTAGATAAGTTTCGACTTCTTCCCACTCGTTTTTTGACATGGACAACTATTTATGATTTGTTGTTGTATTTTTTTACTTATTATTATTATTATTATTACTATTATCATTTTTATTATAATTATTATTTTTATATGTTCAAATAAGCTTCAATCAAAAGCAGTCAGATTGTTCCAAAGCATACAACTCCCAGAGGGGGTTATAAGACAGATAAATATGAGTATTAAGGTGAAGGCGATGTCTGCTCTCAACCTGATGCATAATTGCAAACCAGTCTCAGAATATAAAAAGAGAATTACAGCAGATAGAAAATAACCTGATGCATAGGTCACTTCAGTCAATTGAATCTAATGTGAACATGCAAAAGTTTAGACTCCCAGTGTTCGCAAAGGTGTTGAGACTCTGAAGCTGTTTTTGCAGACGTTCAGACTCTACAGGTGTGCACACAAATGTTCAGAATATGCAGGTGTTGGCGCAGATGTTTGAACTGTGCAGGTGTTCCTGCAGATGTTCTTACTCGACAGGTTGTTTGTGCAGATGCCTGGACTTTGCAGATGTTTTTGCGCTAGGCATCAGGTTTGTGCAGATATTCTTGAAGATGTTTGAAGTGTGTCTGATGTTCTACAGGTGTTTGTGCAGATGTTTGGTTTTGCAGAAATGTATGCAGATGTTTTCACTCTGCAGGTGTTTATACAAATGTTTGGACTCTGCAGGTATTCATGCAGAAGTTTGAACTCTGCAGGTGTTAGTGCAGATGTTTGGAGTCTGACTGTGTCTGCAAATTTTGGACTCTGCAGGTGTTTGTGCAGATCTTCCTTCTCTGCAGGATATAATGCAAATGTTCTGACTCTGCAGGTGTTTGCGCAGACTTTTGAATTCAGCAGGTGTTTTTGCAAACTGTCTGACTCTGCATGTGTTTTTGAGCAGACATTTGGGCTCAACTAGTCATGTTGCAGATGTTTGGACGCTGCTGATGTTCGTTCTGATGTTAGGACCCTGCAGGATTTCTTTCAGATGTTTAGACCATGCAGGATTTCAGGCAGGTGTTTAAACTCTGCAGGTGTTTGTGTAGATGTTTGGACTTTGCATGTGTTTTTGCAGATGTTTAGATTCAGCCTGTGTTCCTGCAAGTGTTCTGACTCTGCAGTTGATTGTGCAGATGTTTGGACCCAGAAGTTTTTTGTGCAGATGTTAGAACTCTGCAGGTGTTTGTGCAGATGTTTGGACCCAGAAGTTTTTTGTGCCGATATTATATTTCTGCAGGTGTTTGTGCAGATGTTTGGATTCCTCAACTTCTTCATTACATAAACATAAGAATGCATGAATTGCAGCTCTAAATCTACCCACATTACCTGATTAGCATTGTGTTACTGGTGGGACATCGTTAATTAGTCATTATATACATACATTGACAGTGTCATAGGATTGATCATATTCTTAACATTAACTTTTTGATAAACAGTATTTATGATGCTTTGTTCTTCATTCCTGTTTATCTAGCATCAAAAGAAGCCCATTATATAAACTTGATTTCCTGCTGTCATGATGAAGGATGATCCCTCAGCTCTACTTTTATAGCCTTCTCCTATCATTAATGCTTGGTTTCTAGGTTACTCAGTCCAGGAAGTCCAGGAAGACATGGTCGTCCTACCTTTTTCATGAACACAGACTGGATCTAACCCGCTATGACTCTGCCTCCCCTCTCTCTAGAACATTGAGGCTCGTCTGAAGGTGTCATTGCCCAGCGATCTGGGAGCAGCCCTGACAGACGGGGTGGTGCTCTGTCACTTGGCCAATCATGTGAGACCACGGTCCGTCCCCAGCATCCACGTCCCCTCCCCTGCTGTGGTGAGTTCATGTCCGGTAAAACTCATACCTGCGGCCCGTTACGTCAGTAACTCTTACTCTGTGAATCCTGCAGCCTAAACTCACCATGGCCAAATGTCGACGCAACGTGGAGAACTTCCTGGAGGCATGTCGCAGGATTGGAGTGCCACAGGTAACACGCCAGGACTGACACCTTTATCACCTGTAGAGTCTTATGGAGCTATAAAAGAAAACCTGCAGGGATTAAATACAGGTTAAAATGACATACCCAAGACCCTTAAGGTGCACCTGTCTCTGACCTGTGGGATCAAAACAAGGAGTAATGAACAGTGACATCACAGTGAAGACTTCCTGTTTCACACAAAAACAGACACAAACAAACAGATAGACATAGACAGACAGGCAGGTTCAGGGTTTGTTGGTTGGTGAAGAGACAGCCTCACTGGTCACATAAATGTGACCTCACTCCAGGGTTTATCAGATGCTTCTGGTTTGTAAATCTTTGCTCCATAAACAGGAAGTGTCTCCACTGTGACATCACTGTCTGCCCCTCATACTTAGACTGATATAAAGCACTTTCACTAACATGTCTCTTTCTTCTCTTTCATTTTCCTGCCTTTCATTAAACCTTTTATTCTCACTCCCCTGTCCATTCACTTTATCCTCTGCCATGTCCATCCTTCCTTTTGCCATCACCCAGGACAGTCTCTGTTCAGTGGGGGAGGTCCTGGAGGGGAAAGGGGGTAGGGTCTATGGGACAGTGGGTGTGTTGCTCTCAATGGCCCCGCCCTCCTTAAGCCCCTCCCCTCAGGTCCAGCTGGCAGGCTTCGCCCTCTTCTACCTGTCTGTTATGTCGGTGCTGTGTGCCCTCTACGTCCACCTGGCACCGCATGTGTGAAGTCAACCTGAGAACAAAACACTCAAAAGTTATTTATCAATCAACAACCAATCAACCAACTAATCAGTTAGTCATTTATGAAGACGACATGCTCTGATATCCCAGCACAAACTCTGCCGCTTTAGTCCAATATTTCGTGGTTGGTCCTGCAAAGCACAAACTCTGGAGACATAGTAAATATCTCTGTTTGCTTCATGTATCAACCGTCTGTTCTGCCGACACACATCGATTTCTGGAGCCCTGCCAGAGGACCAGGATGTGATCCCAGGCTCCATGGACTGTTTATTAGAGAAGGGCTTAATTAAGGCTGAACTGGTTTGTACAGGTGTCTATGTACCTGGTCAGGAATCAGAAGACTTGACAGTACTTTAATGCTGCTCTCAGAGTTGGTGTGAAAGGCTGGATTACAGAGAAACTTTCAACTATTTTTTTATGCGTGGAGATAACAAAGCACACGTTCAGACATTCTTCCTAAGCTAGTTTATGTACAGTGAAGGAACCTGAGGAGTTCAGAGAGGAGTTCAAACACCCTCTCTATTCTGGCCTCCTCACCGTCAATCACTTGAAACCCAGACACCCCTCCTGACTTTAATAAAAGCATGAGAGAGCAGTTCTGATGCCACCACACCCTCTGAGGGTTTCAATCTGACTGAAACTGAACTTTAAAAATATATGCAAACATGTTTGTCCTTCCGTCATCACACTAAATCAAATTGCCTATCATCAGAGTAACTCCCAAATAATGTGATCGGAGATCAGTTCTCTCTTTAGGCTGAAACTGGTTAAAGGTTCTTAGCATGCTCCATAGTCTGCACAAAGGGATTAGACCAGGAAGTTGAACAGCATAAATGCTTTTTAAGAAGGTGTGTAGTAAAAGAAACCTTAGCATAAGGGGAGAAATGTAAAGGACGAAGCTGTTGTAGTGTGTGTTTAAAAGACACAGAGCTCTCAAGCTGTCTGTGTTTTCATCATTCATTCAGTGGACAGCCCGTTGGCCTCCATTCAATTGTCTGGCTCACAATGTAGTCGGTCAACCTGAAGATAGCCTCATAACAACAAGTTTGAAGGGGACATGTCAACACCCTGTCGAAGGTGGACATAGTTCTTTCAGTAAGACTGAAGCTAAATCTGCTGCATCCACATCGTCCCTGTTTGTGTCCAGGTCTCAGTGGCAGCCTTTATAGAAAGCATGTCCACATGCCCCTTTCCTTATAAATCCTCATGTGGGATGTTAAAGTGTTTCCTGAGTCCAGTGGCGGTTCTAGACTAAATTACTCCCTGGGTGAGACCCCCTCCAAGCGTGCATAATCTCCACCTCCAACATAACAACAATAAAAAAGAAACTTAGATTTCTCAATTGCACAAATCCTTTAATAGAGCATTTACAAAACACCTCCAGAAAATCCAGTTATTACATCAGCAAAGACACTTTTTAAGGAGCATAATCTCCACCTCCAACATAACAACAATAAAAAAGAAACTTAGATTTCTCAATTGCACAAATCCTTTAATAGAGCATTTACAAAACACCTCCAGAAAATCCAGTTATTACATCAGCAAAGACACTTTTTAAGGAGCATATTCTCCACCTCCAACATTGCAAAAGACAATGGGCCATTTCTGCACAAAACAGGTTATCAGAGCTTAAATATTAAATATACACTATACACATAAAAGTGGCAAATATTTAACAAAAAATGTAACAAGACAGTCAAGAAGAGAAGAATAATATAAAATATTAAATAAAATATAGACTAATAATCTTACATAGCAAATCACACAAATTTTAAAACACACTAAAGAAAATGTGATTGCTCTATGACAGGAAACACAAAATAAAACTAAAACCTGACCTTTCCTGCCTTCCTTGATGCAAAATCATCAATAATCTCGTCATGAGAAATCTGCTCCCCTATTAACCCATTCAGACCTAAACCCTTTCTGAGCCGGGCCTCTGAAATCCTGAGGGCCATTTTAAGAAGGGCCCCCAGATCCTGAGGTTTTCTGAACTGTTGAGGTTTACAAAAAAGCTGATATCTTAGCCTCTGTAGCAGATAGAAACAAAATTAAAAAAGTATTTGAGAGCTTAGAGGTGTGGCTTTATTTGTCCAAACTTTCAACACATTATTGAATACCTTGAACAAACTTAAATGAAATAAAGCGGCTGTATAAATAAAAGTAAAGACTCTGCACTGGAGAAAAAGAAACTATTTGCTTTCTGTAAAACAAGTGGCACTCATGATAAAGTGTCCATTTAATTCAAATGTAAATATAAAAAATAAAGTGTTGAAAGGGTATACAGCTGCCTTAGTATAGTGCCAGTACTAAAAACTAAATAAATAAATACGTGGCTGACAGTGTGTTCATGTCTGTGCTCACCCAAAGTCATGCAACACTCGCAGAAATCGCCGATAGTGAGAGCCAAAGACCTCAGTATGAATAGGTTGTTCACCCTGCAGGATGTTTCTCCTCCAAAGCTGCTCTCTGCCTGTCATTGTTTACTTTCCTCACAACGTGCATAGCAAGATCTGAGCATGAATCTGATCGCTTTATTAGCTTATCAGAGGCAGACGGGTATGATGATTTGATTCACCACGACTCGAGAAATGATTGAAAAACTACAGAATGTTACAAAATGACGTATCCGCGCTCCTGGCTTGAAGGCTGAAATGCGTACATACTGTCCTGGTTTGCCTAGAACCGCTACTGCCTGAGTCCTCCAAGCTCCTTTTCCTCCCTGAGTTCTGCTTAATGACTGAGCTCCTTGGACAGATAAAAACTCAGCCTGTTGTATCCACACGGTCCCTGTAAATGAGACTCCCTCCAAAACCCTTTAAACTGTTTCCCTGTATCTTCTTTTTGCTGCCTATCTATGTTTAAATTAATGTGGCAACATAAGGTTGCTTGGATGTCTTTTTCTAAAGTCATGTCTTTTAGTGCTTCATGTAAGATTTAGTTCATCCTCTGCTGCCAAAACAGAGTTTCAGCTTCTTTCAGTTTTTTCCAGATTTTCCTGAAGGACTCTTAAAGCCCTCTGGGCTTTCAGAGTGAAGTTGCTTTCTTTGGCTGTTTTTTTCTGCAACCTCATCTTATTGAGCATCAGTAGTCTGAGCTCTTCAACAAAGGGTAGGAGTACAGCATGAAAGCCAGGCCTGAATCACTGCTGGTGCTGCACCAGCCTCCTTATGTCTCTGTCCAACATTTTAGTTTTACAGTCCTAGAGTTCTCTATAACATACTGTAAGGAAATGCTACCGGGGTTTGGCACCAGTTTCTTAGATTTGAGCCCAGGATCGAATCATCTATTCCAATTGAAATCATATCAACTTTCTCATGAGTCTAACAATGTTCTGCCTTCATTGTTGGTGATAATTTTGAACAGATTGCACAAAAGTACACTTTTAGCCTTTAAAGTGGAAAACCCTTTCATTCCAAACTCCAGAGGTGCGGACTGAAACCATGCAACATGAACTTAATGAGTCTGATGACATTGCACATGACCATAAGCTTGGAACTCAAACCTCTCATTTTGGACTTGTTGGTCTTGACTTGGTGTGTGCTAGAACTTGATTGACTGGACCTAAAAATCAGTTTATGATGGACTTATTGGGTTTGGTTTACAGTGGGATTTGATAGCTTTGAGATGATCTGGACTTAAAACTTGCTGGCCCTAAGACACTCTAAACCCTGAACTTGTTGATATTGACTTGAATTGGGCCAAAGTCGTTGGTGTCTGTGTCTTAATCTTGACCTGGAACTTGTTAAGCTTGAAATTAAACCTGGACTCGACCCTGCTCCTGATATTAGAATCTAATCCAAACATCTAAAACAATGTCACAACCGGGTAAACTGAGTGAAATTCATGGAAATTTCAGCAAGTGTTTTTCTGATTTTGATGCAATGAAAGACAAAGTAATTTTTCAGTGAAATGACATTTTATTGCAATTGCATCAGGGAGAACTTGCAAACAATACGGCATCTTCATTGATATCAGTCCACTCAGAAGCAGGCTTTTGCCCCCAGGTTGCACGCACATCTAGTATTGTTTGTACACAAGAAACCTGTCTGTAATATATTGGAATTAATGGTCTAAACTTGCTCTTGACCTGGGACGGGGTATTATTACTTTGTCCTAACTGTGGACCAGGTGGTTTTGACCTGACTAATTAGACTTGCTAGTGTTGACTAGAGATGGGATTTATGGCACTTTGAAGGGAGCCGGAGCTGTTTCTTTCAAAGAGCCGTTCAAAAGACTAGCTCGTAGTTCTATGTATTTTCTTTTTAGAAGTCAACCAGGGCTACACAACCCACCATATCTCCATCCTTCGACAGTGAGATCACTGTTTTGAATGTTTCCTCAACTAAAAATCTTTGTGACACAGTAAAAACTATGCACGGCTTGCCACTGTGATTCTTGTGTTCTCATCATTCACTTAAAGAGCCATTCAAACTGACTTGTTCGTCACATTTCTAGTGTTGACCTGAGGCTTGTTGGCCCAAACTTCCTTGGTGCTAGGACTTGTTACTTATTAACTTAGAACATGGAATCATCAGTCTTTACCTGGATATGCTGCCGTTTAGATGGTCTGGACTTGAGACATGTTGGTCTCTTGAAATAAGACTTGGACTCCACATTGTTTGGTGCTTGCTGGGTTTCAAACTTGCTCCTGACTTGAGACTTCTCAGAGTTTGTAAGTCTAGACTTGCTCCACGTTGAACTTGTTGGTTATGTCCTTGAAATTCCTAGTCTTGACATCTCTTCAACAGGACTTGTTGGCCTTGACTTACTTTGGTCCCGGGGTTTCTTTTTTTTTATTTTTTTGGTCTTGGCCCGAGACATAAGCTTTATCCAAGATGCAGACTTGAATAAATCAGGGACTTGTTGGCCCTGGCTTGTTGATGTGGAGTTTGCATTCGGCCTTTGTTTGTGCTTACCCTAAAACTAGTTTGGGACTTGGGAGTCTTGACTCGGGGCCTTATGGTCTGAACTAAACGGAGAAGAAATGTCCAAACAGATGTTGGTAGCTGTGTGCTGAATTTGCCAAAAGTCTGTAAATTTCCTAAGAATCTCGTGATCCCTCGGGTGAGGTTAAAACTTGACAATCAAGGTGGAGGTGTTCCCTGAGGCACATTTCCTGCCTGTTAAGCTCCGCCCCCTGTGCCTTATGTTTGGCTGCCTGTCTGAGTGTGTTTGTTTTTTTTACTATTTTTACTGTTTGTAAAGTGGTCCAGGATTTTCCCACTGTCTTGGGTCAGAAACCTGTTGTAGGAACGTGTGATTAACATGAAATGTTGTTCACCAAATACCTGTGTTTCCACCTGTGCGCTTTCTGTGATACTGAAAGTAAGAAGGAACTCAGATAGATAACAGGAACTCAGACATAGAGGAGCAGTGCCTTCACTGGGTGAAACAGGTCCTAAGACTTATTGAGGGACTCTGAAGTATTACCTATTCCTCTAGTCCCTGCAGGATTAAAACCGTCACCCAGCATGGGTCTGCTCTGGGGCCAGTTCTGGGAACAAAATCAGTGGTTCTGTAAGTTTTTAAAGGTTCAGGTTCTGGTCAGATGCAGGCCACATGTTGTTTTGTTTGTGCAGTTTTAAGGACTCAGAGGAGACGTGGACCGGATCCTGGTGTTCCCTTATAAAGCAGGTGGTACCTGAGCTGGTTTACTGGTTAAACTTGACTTTGAGACGGCACTTGTTTTTTCTAGAACCTGAGGAGTGATGAAGAGGAGGAGGATGAAGAGAATTTGTCAGTGTTTAAACAGACTGTGTGCCTCTGCTATGCTTTTCCCTCTGAACATGAATAAAAGTCCCTGACTCACTCTGTCTGTCTGCTTTTATTTCTGAAACCACTCACTGTGAAACAGGGGAGGTCACTGCAACAGGTGTGACCCTCAGACAGGTGCAGTCCAGATCACTTTTAAAGACCATAGTAGATCAGAGTGATACAGACCTCCATCAACATTCAAGTATGAACCATAACATGTTTCATTTGCTTTGCTAGCTTCTGTAGCCTCCATGCTAACTGTGACATGCAAGACTTCCAGACGTTCCAGTTAAGTTGGATGTCAGAGCTTGGAATAACGTTACACCCGAGTTGACGGCGTTCCAGTTAACAAGTCAGAAAACCAAGATGGATGCTTACTGTTAGCTGTTGTTTACAATTGTCAACTGTGGTTGCCCGTTGTCAGTTGTTGTTAGCGGTTGTCAGCTGTTGTTAGTTGTTAGCTTAACCAGTTGTAAACAACGCACAACACAGTATTTTACTCTACAAACACCATAGCGCCATGTTCACAGTTAGACGTTGGGTCAGTACAACCTATACCACTCCTTTAATTTCACAAAAACAAAATAGAAGTGCTAATAAATAATACATTACGAGAGCTTTCACTGTTACTCTTTACTGTTGACGCACTGCCCTGTCATCTTGAATTATGACGTTGTCATCAAGTCGGGGTTGATGAGGATTGTCTAACTGTCCGAGTCGGAAATCCGACTTCAGGGGGGCATTCCAGATGAATTTCCGTCTTGGAGCTCAGGAATTCCGACTTCTGACTACAACTGGAACACAGCATTAAGTCAGCCTTTATTTATCCTGGAGACCAGGAAAATGATCGTCCTTACAGAAGATCAAAAGTGTACGAATAAGGCCTGATACATGGCCATTACAACCCAAACCAAGAATACCTATTCAGCAACAGGCCTGAAATGAGCTAAAAAAGCAGTAGATCCAGGTTAGTTGGTCTCTCTGTTGTGACCATGTTGGTTGTAAAGCCCAGAGCTGCTGTCGAACTGAGAGGACTGCTAATAATCTGCTGAGTCATGTCAGAGAATTCGCTTCAGTGTGGACTGGGAAGAGGACGATGACTGTGGAAGTGTTTCATCCTGAGGTCATCAACAGCAGACGGAGTGGATTCAGTGACACATGACCCTGATCCAGAGCTTTCATCATGTGATTATGTGACCACGTCCACATTAATCTGAGATTAATATGAGAATGTCAGTGAAACCTGGTATCTGGTCAAACTGCTGTGTTCAGAGTTTCATATTCATTCTGTTTTCCCCTCTTTTCTTCCCTCCATCAGTTATTTTTCTCATTCGCTTTCTCCTCCCTTCTCATGTTGCCATGGTTACTGTTATTTTTTTGATTTTATTTTCATTTGCCATCCGTTGACCCCCCTTTTTGTTCTTTTTTTTGTCCACACTGTGTGTCTTCTGTCGTGTTTTCCTCAATAGAGTCAGTTGTGTCTTCCTCTGCACATCCTTGAGGAGCAAGGGCTTCCCCAGGTGGCCGGCACCGTCAGCGCATTGCTGGATTTGGCCCCTCCCCGTCACACCGTCACCACAACAACCACTGCACCCGGACCCTCCATCAACATCTGAACAACGATCGAATGACCACTGCACGTGCTCGATGGGCCTCCTGTAGGCAGTCATAGGAAAGGATGGCGAGCAACAGATGATGTTGAGAGAGACAGTGAGAGCTTGAAGTCAGGGTGTGATGGAGAGACAAACAGAAACACAAACAGCTGAGTCATGCTTTAGAGAGGTTCTAAACCCTCCTGTCCAAGGGATTATAAAAGACGGCAAAAGGAGAGATTCCTGAAACACGGACAGCCATCAGATTTTAAAAATCTCTGAATTATGAGGTTTTCGAAAACCTGTCGGCCTGTCCACCCTTAAACTGCTGAATCATGTTCAGGTCATTAGATACTCTTACTTCTCCTCAGAGCTCAGGATGAGTCAGCAGAAATAGTGTCAACAGAAAAAAGAGAAACTAGTTCTGGGCCCCAACTCTTCAGCCTATGTGTGCCTATTAGTCATGTGTAATTGAGCGAGAATTTCAGAATTGAGCTCTGGAATACCAGTGTCGTACCAGGTTTTGTGACATCACTCAACATGATTGGCTGTATGTTCTTGTAATGACATGTCACACTCTGATTGACAGTTTGTCAGAGTTTTAAAATCTTTTACTGATGTCGTTGATTAATCTTAATTAAAATAGAAATATGTCTGACGTGTTTATGGATCAGTAAAGACTGGTGTTAGATGAATCCATCAAACAGACGACTTCAAGAGTTTGATAAGTTTTTGTATAAATCACAAATGGTGCTCAGACAGTTTCCCGTTTAAAATTCTTAGTAAAGATTTGTGAATCAACATCTTTGTGGGTTTGAGGATGAACCAGCAGTTAGATATTATGAACAAGAGCTTAGGTCCAGAATTACAGCATAGGATTTCTGACAGTCAGAAAGACACGGCAGCTTCACGGGGACAAACTACACTGAATCCACTGAAGTCTTAAACTGATTAGGGTGACCATATTCTGAATCCCCAAAAAGAGGACACTACTATGTGGGCCAGGGTTGCGTGCGGGCGCGCAAAATTTGGAGGGTTTTTCGAGTTGGGTCGAGTGTTTTTTAGGCGCTTCTCTAACTCAGTTAAGCGCATATTCTGAATTCCCAAACAGACACTTAACCAGGCCTCTTGGAGACACTAAAAAATACTCACGCAAAATTGCGTTTATAAACAATATATTCATTTATCTAAAGCATCTCTCTTCAACAAAATTATCAGTCACAAATATTTCTCCCTTTCCTTTCACTCACCGGCAGACAGTGCGTGCATGCATGCGTCTCGTCAGTGGCTTTGCTGAGAACTGAGGGGAGGGGCAGAGCAGCAGAGAGCACTGATAGGCTGCACTGTTTTATAATGAATAAATGCAGCGTTTTGCATGGAACTTTGTCTTTCAGAGTGTTTTTCCAAATGAACTATTGAACATAAATGGTAAATACAATGGTCCATGATGCGAAGATAAAGTACACACTACACGAACTCAAAACTATGGAAGCCCATTTCCGCCAGTGAAAAAAACGGGCTTCCATACAAAACCCTGGACAATTTTTAAAATTACCCCAGACAGGCTGGACAGCCCCCCAAATGAGGACATGTCTAGGTAAAAGAGGATGTATGGTCTCCCTAAAACTGACCATCAATCACACTGCGAGGCATCATCACTTTAACCTACCACCAATCACCACTCACTCCACATTACTCACAGCCAATTCCACCAGAACATTTGGTACCTACTGCAAGTTCTGGAAGGCTGGGATGCTGGGTTCAGAGGGTCTACAGAGCTCAGACCTAACGTTAGCATGGCTAGCTGAGGCAGCATGTGTGTTTCTGTCATCAGCTGTCCTTCAGTGTTTGTCTCTCCATCAGATCCAAGCTTCACCTTCTGACATCAATGACCCCTTAGACAGCCAGGTAGCTTGATCCAGAGGAGGGTCAGGTGACCTGGAGCAGGGCCCTGTGACCCTGAACTCAGACTGACAGGTGTTTCTTCTCTCCCTCAGTGATCAGTTGGGTGTGGTCTCCTCTCTGGTCATTTTTTCCCAGCTAATATTAAAACTTTATTGACATTGTTTGTGTTGACAGTCTGAGCTCTGACTGCCAGCTGTAGTTTCAGGTGATGTCACCTGGCCAGTGTTTCACCACCTGATGGGTTGTCTGCTGTGATGAGGACCTAAATTAAAGGGTTTTAAATCTTATTTATTTCAGACTCTTCAGCTTTAAAGATTCAAATTAATAAGAAACAGATGTACCATGAACTTCAGTCAACTATGATACAAGAGTTTCACATGTAAATATGAGGAAACTTCAGCTGTTTATCAAAGAGAAAGACGAGCCCTCTGACAGCTGAGATAAAAAGAGTCACGATTTTGTTTAATGACGCTGGACAACACTAAAGAAATCAGATTCAAAACTCTGAACTAACGCAAAGATGCTTTTTATTACTTTAACACACTCATCTGCCTCTGAGGCTGGAGGTCCAGCAGGCTGGAGGTGACAAGCTCCAGCAGCTCCACTTCCTGATTCTGTTGCATGCTGGGCCTTTTTAAAGTGTCTTCCTGATTTGACACTAAACACAGACTATGGTCACACCTTCACTTTATTATATGTGTGTGTGCATGTGTGTTGTGCCAGGCTCACACTGACACTGCAGAAGACTAAATACATTGCGGTGGACGGAGCCTCCTCCTGTGATGTCAGTGGGTTGATTTAAATGGTTTAAAGGAGCAGTGCACCCAAAACTGTAACCTGAGTCATCGATAAAAGTGGACAAAAGAGTATATCTGACATCAATCAAACAAACAGACTCTTGAGAGTTTAAACATCATGATGTTGTTAAGTTTCACATTTGTGTTGATTCATTCAGTTCAGTATTTTTGTTTATTTACATCTTTAAAAATTGTCTGAGCACAGATTGAGTTTGTTTACGGTTAATCAGACTCTTAGACTGTTTCTGTGTATGTCTAAAACTTTATTACAATGTAAAAAAGCAACAACAACAATGACACCATCAACAACCAGTGACAAAAACATCAACATCAACGACAATAAAGGCAATATTAACATCAACGACACCAACAACAATAACAATAATAACTAGGCACTCGGCCTGAGCAGTTTCGCACCACCTGTCCCCTCAGGTGCAATGATCTTCCTCAAGGTCTCTTCTACAGACTGGAAGAGAAATAACATCAAAACTGTAAATGGTTTGCCTTGGAGAAGGCAATTTGTAGGCACTTTCAAAAAGCCCTACTTGTGTGTGAGGGGGAACTGTTGCCAAACTAAGCCTAAGTTGTAAGTTGTAAGGAAAGTTGTATATCAATTTGAAAGTAGACTATTGTGGGTACCTGTGGCTGCAGTTTCAGCTTTCAAAAATTTAATCCTTTAAAGGATTTAATTTTTGAAAGACCTTTAAGGTGGGCAAAAATCCCAAAACCCAAGATTTCAAACCAATACAGCCGATTTTCAGTTTGGTGTGGCTTATGGATCCAAGACACATTTTTGTTTTGTTTTTTTCCTCTCAGGGTCTTACATAAGCCTATAAAATGTCATAGCTGTGGGTCACACACAGGGGCGGGGCTTAAATCTGAAATTATCTAGGGGGAGCTATAGAGCCATATTTGGTTGTATCTCCATTTTGACTTTAAAGATGATACCCCTCCTGATCTGTTTTTTTTTGTCCATGTACGCACCCGACATAATACACAAATTTTCGCTGGACCCAACCCCCTTGCCAAATGTTTTGCATATTTAGCCCATCTATAGGGTTGCAGAATTGAAAAACCGGCAAATTTGTGCTTCAGCAGCAGGTACCCTTTGTGATAGTTGGTACTTGTGTCAGGTACTTTTAAAAAATGGGAAAATTCATAGTTAGAGACTTGTAACATTGAAAAAGTGGGCCGTATAATAATAATAATAGTAATTAATTCCTAGTGTTTCAAGAGGGCTCTCGCCACTGCTTTGCAGCGTCAGCTCTGGCCTTAACGACAACATTAATGACAACACAACATCAATGACAATAAAGAGAATAAAATTGATAATATCATCAACTACACTAACAACTAACAAAAACGACAACATTAACAACAACATTGATGAAGACAACCCACAGACTGTTGACACGTTTGTTTATAGTGTTTGTTCGTTTTTCTGTGTCTGTCTGTCTGTATGTTAGTTTGTCTGTTTGTTTGTTTGTTTGTTTGTTTGTCTGTTTTTGTGTTCAGACTGAGGCTCCGTTGATGATGACAACAGTTTTTAATGTAACAAGTGATGTTGTGATTTTTCGTGTTAAACGAGAACTTTGCTGCATTCAGGTGATGTGGGACATGAGGAGTTTGAACACTAAACAAATGATCTGCTGACAGAAACCCATTTAACGCTAGTTTGAATTGGTGTAAACCTGCAGCATCTGAACGCAGCACAATGCCTTCACTGTCACTGTATGATACTGGGGAGTCTGCTCATCAAGCCCATTAAAGCTCCTGTCTGGAGGTGTGTCTGCACACCTATGAGCTTTCAACTTCATCATCAGTGAGTCAGCTGTTACCTGGGCGGGTGTTCTTTTTGGACTGTTTACAGGTGTGACCCAACCAACCCATGTTTGTACAGATGTTTCCTGTTTTTTTTTCCTTGTTGTGTCTCCTGTGACGGTGAGGGCGGGATCATGTGACGACAAGGTCATGTGATGGCAAGGTCATGTGACAGCAAGAGTGTGATGACCATAGATATATATAACTAGATCCCCTACAACCCCTCCCAGGATGCATCAAGCCTGCTACCATCTTGGACCAGCGCTTGTTAATAGTTTTCAGTCAGTTGAAGTTTTAGAAGCCTGTGGTCTGCCTGAAAACGGCATTTCTTTACATTCTTGCCAGCAGTCAGTGGTGCCGCTCCAAGATGGTGTTGGTTTTGACATATGCACTGCCACCGTCTTATATGAGTTGTTAGGCATCTAGTTATATGATATCTATGGTGAAGACAAGGTCATGTGACCGCAGGGTGATGTGGTTTTAAAGGGCATTCCACCGTTTTTTTGCTGGAGGACAGACAGACTGACTCACAGTTTTTAAGTTTTACATTTTTTCACTTTTTTTTCTGAAAACTGTAAAAAAGATTTGAACACAGCTGTAAGTTGAGTTAAATTTATGTTCATTAAATAAATATTTTAATTTGACTCTTTTCTCTGAAGTTCTCCTACTCAGTCATTTTATGGTTAACAGATGAGCTTAAAAGTGTGAAAATTTCTGTTTGTTTCTGTGGTCCCAGTGGTTTTACTATTACCCCAATCAGTAAATAAACTTGATTTGAAGGGCACATACATGAAAATCAGCTATGAAAGAAATCAGAAGAGCAAAACTATAAGTAAAATCACAGAAACTGAAGTTTGTTTAATGTCTCAATTCTTCAGTCTGAATGTTAGAGTTGGTGCTCTGTAAATGTGGATTAGACCACAAAAATAATAATTTAAAGTTTAATTGGAAAAAGTGCACAAAAACAAATCTTTTAGCTGGAATAGGTTTTTGTTTGATTCAAACCATCAAAGTTTGTATCCACATTTTAGTCAAAATCACATATTTAAGTTAAATTTCTTTATTTCCTACTTTCTTTTCTTTTTTTTTTTAATCAAACCAAGGTTAAAATATGGGGTCATCACTGTAGCAAAAGTATTCAAAAATGTGTTTTTCGATCCGTTTATGTAACCAGATCCAAAAATGTGTAAAAGAAAAAAATCTGTGTGTGTATGTATCTGTGTAACCCGGGTATCAAGACCAATTCAAGTTGTCTGGCTTGAAGGACTGATTGTTTTGAGGAAAATGAGGTTGTAGCTCAATCTTTATGACAGTGGTTAAAAAAGAGGGGTCTGGTTTGTAACTATGTGGTTTCTTGATGGGTTATTGACCCAGAAGTCCAAGTCTGTGGATATCTTTTTAACTTTACCCAAGTGCCAAAGCCGAATCAATGGCTGTAGCCTACTGTGAAGGCCCAGTCAGGCTTAAAACTGGAGGGGCCAGTATCATTGGTGCTTGCGCGGCCCGGTGACATGAATTTGTATAGCTATGGAGGCACACAGACAAGTCTCCACATGCAAACAAAATCACTGCACGCATTGCTAGATCCTTGCAGCAGGAGTGTAGCAAAAGTTACGTGAGAGAACACATCCAATCTCGTGGCCTGATAAAGTTCACATGATCTAGGCTTACAGACCAATGTATGCATTTGCAGTTTTATTTTACATATTTGTGGCTCTGGTTACATACACACGTAAGGCTGTCACGGTATACCGGTATTAACAATAAGCATGGTATAAAAAATTAAATATCAATGTCGTGTTCAAAATGCGAACACAAAATGATCCAGTGCCACTTGAACACATTGTGTTTCCTGTATTCACCCCTGTTTTCTTCCACCCGCTTCCTCTCCCTCCTGGAGCACTCCAACAACCCCTCCCCCTTCCTCCTCACACACAAGCACTGACCCCTGCAATGAAACAGCAGCAGTAGTGATGGGAAGAACAGTTCTTTTGACCGTGCTGAATCTTCTCCATTCATTAAAAGGATTCGTTCAAAAGATTCATTTACTGAATCAGTCAGTGCTTCGGAGCCCCGTCCTGCCGGTGCAGTACACTAGTGAGTGACACAGTGGCATGTACATTCATGAGTTAATTCATTGAACGAGCCCCTCCCCTCCTCTGCAGTCACAGCATCTGTCCATGTAGATTCTCATTCATCCAGGTCGTGGTTATCTTGAAGACTCCAAAAACAGGCAACTGGACTGTGTGAGGTTGAGTAGACGTTTTGCATCTTATCCAAGAAGCTTCTTCAGTTCTGAAATTGCTAGTGAGGGGAGCAAATATTTATCTTACTGGAGATGGGGACAAACAACGACTGGGAAGAGTTGGAATGAATGGGTTGTAGAAACCCATG